ACAGGCTGGTTTCCACTGCAGGGTCGGACCTGAGGGGTTCAATGGTTCCAGAACTCGTCTGTGGTTCTGGTTCAGGGTGTCAATGTTTACAGTTTTTTACACGTGTAAACGGCGCCTTCTGACCGACGTGTTCCTGGTCACAGGTGGAGATCTCCGCTCTATGACCACGAGAAGGTTCTGTCTCCGTTCAAACTCCTCCTGATCCTGTTAAATCAGAGCCGGTCCAGAACTTATCAGACGGTTCTGTCGTTGTAAACTAACTTTGACCAACATGGCCGACACTCCATTTCCTCTGACGGATTATTCAAAGAAACCGCCACACAGCGCTCCGCCTGTTGACCGCCGCCATCGCAGAAGTAACGCAACACCGGCTGTGTAACATTGAGCTCATCTGTGATGTCTGTGGAAAATTTCACTAGTGGGAACGTTTAAGTGTTTCAGTTCATGTTGTTATCGGGAGATTTCAGGAAAAACTTATATATATAAATATTTGTATATATGTGTGTATAAATATAAATCTGTTGGTGAGAGATGATGGAGGAGGAGGTCAGGAGGAGGTCAGGAGGAGGTCAGGAGGAGGAGAGGAGGAGGACAGGAGGAGGACAGGAGGAGGACAGGAGGAGGACAGGAGGAGACTCTGTAAACGGTTCTTGTTTTTTCTAAACCTCCTGATCTGTCATCTGTGTGTCCGTTTACACGTGTAGATGTTGACACCCCTAGTTCTGGTTCTGGTCCCTCAGAGTCTGACCCTGTACCTGGATTTAAGGACAGAGGGACGGTCGGGTCTCACCTGTGAGAGAACAACCTTGAAGTGGTCTCAGGTCTCTGCAGAGTCCTGGTCCCACTGAGACGATGATTACAGGTACTGAGGAAACAGACGTTTGTTAGAGTTGGACGTGTGTCTGAAATCAAGTCCAACAGAGACTCTGGACCAGGAATAAGACCGGACTCTCTGCAGGTCCTGGATCCTCAGAACTGCCCCTTCAAAATAAAACTCCACGAGGTCCAGGTTTTAGTTTCTGAACTTCAGGACGGTTTTTGTTCTGGAGTTTCACCGTCAGTCAGCTGGTCGAGGTGATGAAGGTTCCTGTGGATCTAAAATCTGATTTATTTTCTTTTTATTGACGTAAAAATATAAAAACACCTTCAGATCAATATTTTGATGTTTATCGGTCTAAAAATGGTTTCTGGACGTTTCTGGATCAGAGGTGTTCACCGAGAGGACGCTGTAGAGACTGTAGATGTTCTTCAGATCTTCATGGACCTGTCCTTCTGTCCTTCTGTCTGTTTAGATGAGACCAAGATGAAAGCTCCTGCTCTCAGTCGACACCGGCTGAGGAAAGGTACCGTAGAAATCTGTGATTCTAGATTTCCTCCCCCCACTCTTAGAGAGCTCTTCTCCTCAGTCTTCTGTCTGTTTCTGAATCTTTAGAGGAAAAGAAAGAAGGAAAGAAGAAAGGAGAACCTAAAGGTGGGCTCTGAGCGTCCTCTTTACACACCTGGACTCTGATTACCGTATTTCCCACTATAAGGCGCACCAACAATAAACACGTCTATTTTCATACATAATATTATAAATTAATAATAATTAATCCAAATGAAACAGTCAGATCAGTCAAACTTTATTTAACTCAGTAACCCTGCGAGGTTACAGTAGCTGCAGCGCTCCAACAGGCCAAAAGGATTTTAAGAGCTCCTTATAGTACGAAGAATACGGTAACCCTGAAAAATCCAAAACATGTGTGACCATCAGAACTGAGGAGGGGGCGTGAAGAGCGGACCGGGTCTCTCTGATCCTCCTCCGTGTGCTTCAGTGTGACGAAGGTCAAAGACTGAAGAGAGAGACTGTTAACAGAGAAACTGAGACTCTGTATAGACAACATTAACCTAGAGTGAAGAGACTGTTTACAGAGAAACTGAGACTCTGTATAGACAACATTAACCTAGAGTGAAGAGACTGTTTACAGAGAAACTGAGACTCTGTATAGACAACATTAACCTAGAGTGAAGAGAGACTGTTAACAGAGAAACTCAGACTCTGTATAGACAACATTAATCTAGAGTGAAGAGAGACTGTTAACAGAGAAACTGAGACTGTATAGACAACATTAACCTAGAGTGAAGAGAGACTGTTAACAGAGAAACTGAGACTCTGTATAGACAACATTAATCTAGAGTGAAGAGACTGTTTACAGAGAAACTGAGACTCTGTATAGACAACATTAACCTAGAGTGAAGAGAGACTGTTAACAGAGAAACTGAGACTCTGTATAGACAACATTAACCTAGAGTGAAGAGAGACTGTTAACAGAGAAACTGAGACTGTATAGACAACATTAACCTAGAGTGAATAGAGACTGTTTACAGAGAAACTGAGACTCTTTATAGACAACATTAATCTAGAGTGAAGAGACTGTTTACAGAGAAACTGAGACTCTGTATAGACAACATTAACCTAGAGTGAAGAGAGACTGTTAACAGAGAAACTGAGACTCTGTATAGACAACATTAATCTAGAGTGAAGAGAGACTGTTAACAGAGAAACTGAGACTCTGTATAGACAACATTAACCTAGAGTGAATAAAGACTGTTAACAGAGAAACTGAGACTCTGTATAGACAACATTAACCTAGAGTGACCCCTGTCTGTCCCAGTTGTCCATCATGGTTGTTGTGTGAACGTTGATGGTTCCAGTAACAGTTAATTTTTTTGCGGCCTGTTCTGGTTTGGTTCTGGTTCTGGTTTGGTTCTGGTACCTCAGTACTGATCCCATGATGAGCCTGTGGAGAACTAACCCAGTTCTGGACTCTTCCCTCCTCTCTGGCTGCTGCATGTGTCGTGTTTGCAGTGATGGTTTTGTCTGTACTTCAGTATGAAATGATGAAGTTTGATCGTAGATGTCACCGACGTCTGAGCGAGCGATTAAACTCCCTAAAGGTAGATGTCTGGTCTGAGTGTGATCTATGTTCTCCTGATCCTAGACTCACAGTCATGTCTTGGTTTTTTGGAGTTTATTGACTAAACAGACATATTGACTCTTAATGATCTCTGTCCTGATGGTTTAACGTTGTAAGAATGATCTTGTTGTCTTTGGTAGATGATCCAACAGAGGAGAGCGCCGCTATAACGAACACGACTACAGGTATAAAAGATCCAGACCAGGACTGATTCTGAGGCATGGCTTTGGTTTAATCGGACTGATGATGCTTTAACTCTCCTCTATAACCTGGGTCATGTTTTTACACATGTCGGGGTCCAAACGGCGAATGCACTCTTTCATTTTCTGATTTTATAGTTTGTGAAAGTTAAAGGTGGGGTAGGCGGGATCTGAGGAAGTGTCAGTGCCACAAACAGACGCTCCTGCTCGCTCGTATCGTTCCAGTTAAATTCAGATATAATGCAGATAAATCCTTCAGATCATTACAAATGGGGCCCAGTCAAGGTGAAAGTCAAAAGCATTGGTGCTACTGTAGATGCCAACAGACTACCAGCAAACACAATGTTTGCAGGACTTCTACAACGAGGATAAAGTGACATAGTCCAGGACCCGAGGGAGGACAGTTTAGCGATGGCGCTACAACACGCTACAGCAGGTCCGTTTGACAAGAAACACTTCTGTTACAGACACTTGTCTTACTTTGTTAAAGCGGTTTACCTGTCCAGCAGAAAGGTTACAGGGTCACCAAGATCCCCAAGCGTCCCCCATGGTTTATGTTGACCCGGCTTTTTAGCTCTTGTCCGGTCTACCTCCGTTTTAAGCGCCCGTTATTCCTCCAGAGTCTCCGGTATTTACTTTGTTTTCTTGCTTGTGTCGGCAGTCGTGGCCAAAGGAGGATTCAGACAATTTTCCGAACTTTCTGGTTGGTTTCTACTGTCCGATATTGTAGCACGCTAACTTTGTTTGGGCTCCTGAACGACACGGGGGAGCAGCGTCTGCCTCACAACCAATCAGGTTAGAGGAGGTGGAGAACACGGCGATATTATTATATTACCAAATGTCATCAATAACTAATAACTATTGACTGATATTAGAAGAGTTTTTTGTAAATAAACCACAAATAAAGATTCTTCTTTAACGGACTCCTGCCGACTTTAACTCCGACTCTCTAACGGATCGATGGATGTGATACTAAGACCTTAACCCTGTCGTAGTCTTTGCGCTTCTTCTACTCTGATAATCTGGTGCAGACAGCTCTGCAGGAGCCTCAATAGACAACAGAGCTGTCAATCATGAAGCCACGCCCTTTTTGTAGCATAAAATAACTAAAACCTGAACCAAATCGATCAATAAACAGACTCGGCAAATGTTTCTGTTCAGTCCATCATCCCTTCTAGTCTGGATGGGTTTAAAGGTGGTCCCAGTACGGGGCCCTGGGGGACTCCACACAGAGGTTCTGATGTCCTCTGGGTTTGGAGACTTGAGCGCGGCGCCGAGTAGAAGTGCTGAGTCATGGTTGAACCTCATCCATCCACTAACAGAGCGACCATGGTCTGCTGTGACTGCATGAAGACGGCCCATGGCGGTCTTAATCTAACAGATTACTGCATCATCACACGGTGGTTAAAGTGACGCCTTTAATCTGAACCTTAGACCGCCGTGTGGGAGGAGCCAGGCTGCGCTCCGCTCTGAAGGAGGAGCTGAGGATGATCCACGAGAAGATGGAGGCCAAGAGGATCGCTCGCATCGCTTTTGCCGAAATCAGAGCTTTCCTCGACGAAGAGGAGGCAGCGTGGGAGGTGAAGGTGAAGAGGCTGGAGGAGGCGCAGGAGGAACTGAGGGAGGAGCGAAGGAGGGAGGAGCAAAGGAGGGAGGAGGAAAGAAAAGAAAAAGAGAGGAAAGAAAAGGAGAGGCTAGCTCAAGAAAAGGCAGAAAAGGAAAGACAAGAACAAGAGCGCATCGCCAAAGAAAGGGCGGAGAAAGAACGACAAGAAAGAGAGCGCATCGCCAAAGAAAGGGTGGAGAAAGAACGACAGGAGAGAGAGCGCATCGCCAAAGAAAGGGCGGAGAAAGAACGACAGGAGAGAGAGCGCATCGCCAAAGAAAGGGCGGAGAAAGAACGACAAGAGAGAGAGCGCATCGCCAGAGAAAGGGCGGAGAAAGAACGACAGGAGAGAGAGCGCATCGCCAAAGAAAGGGCGGAGAAAGAACGACAGGAGAGAGAGCGCATCGCCAAAGAAAGGGCGGAGAAAGAACGACAAGAACAAGAGCGCATCGCCAGAGAAAGGGCGGAGAAAGAACGACAGGAGAGAGAGTGCATCGCCAAAGAAAGGGCGGAGAAAGAACGACAGGAGAGAGAGCGCATCGCCAAAGAAAGGGCGGAGAAAGAACGACAGGAGAGAGAGCGCATCGCCAAAGAAAGGGCGGAGAAAGAACGACAGGAGAGAGAGCGCATCGCCAAAGAAAGGGCGGAGAAAGAACGACAGGAGAGAGAGCGCATCGCCAGAGAAAGGGCGGAGAAAGAACGACAAGAGAGAGAGCGCATCGCCAGAGAAAGGGCGGAGAAAGAACGACAGGAGAGAGAGCGCATCGCCAAAGAAAGGGCGGAGAAAGAACGACAAGAACAAGAGCGCATCGCCAGAGAAAGGGCGGAGAAAGAACGACAGGAGAGAGAGCGCATCGCCAGAGAAAGGGCGGAGAAAGAACGACAGGAGAGAGAGCGCATCGCCAAAGAAAGGGCGGAGAAAGAACGACAGGAGAGAGAGCGCATCGCCAAAGAAAGGGCGGAGAAAGAACGACAGGAGAGAGAGCGCATCGCCAAAGAAAGGACGGAGAAAGAACGACAGGAGAGAGAGCGCATCGCCAGAGAAAGGGCGGAGAAAGAACGACAGGAGAGAGAGCGCATCGCCAAAGAAAGGGCGGAGAAAGAACGACAAGAGAGAGAGCGCATCGCCAAAGAAAGGGCGGAGAAAGAACGACAGGAGAGAGAGCGCATCGCCAAAGAAAGGGCGGAGAAAGAACGACAAGAAAGAGAGCGCATCGCCAGAGAAAGGGCGGAGAAAGAACGACAGGAAAGAGAGCGCATCGCCAGAGAAAGGGCGGAGAAAGAACGACAAGAGAGAGAGAGAATAGTGAGGGAGAAGGAAAGGATGGAGCGAGAGAGGGCAGAAAAGGAGCGACTGGAAAAGGAGAAAGTGAACAGAGAGAAGGAGAGGCAGCAGAGATTAGTGAAGGAGAACGCTCTACGGGAGAAAACGGAGGTGGAGAGGATGGCGAGGGAGCGAACAGAGAAAGAACAAAACGGCGTGAAGATGGAGGTGAAGAAAGACCTCCTGGAGAGGAAAGGAAACATGACTCAGCAGAAAGCTCCTGCTGACAGAGTGGGCGTGTCTGCGGTCCACAGAGAGAAAAACACGCCGCAGGAGAAGACGGCGGTGGGCGGGAAGAGGAAATGACCACAGGAACAAAGTGACAGTTTCATCAACAGTTCCAGGACTCTGATTGGCTGGAGAGGATGAAGGGGTGAAACTTCTGATTGGCTCTGCGTCATGATCGACTCGGCCGGACTTTAAAACTGGAACAAACTTTTAATTCAAATACACAAAAATCTGATTTTACCTGATCATGAGTCCTCAGACCAACCAATCAGAGCCTGTTTTAAATGAAGCAGACTAAAAGGAGAGCCTGTGATTGGTCGGACAGCTGTGACATAGTGAAACCAGAAACTGGAATCAAAGAGAGTTGGAGGCAGAACCTGTTGGTTTGTTATCTGGTGAGGTTCTAAAGGGTCAAAGGTCGGGATGGACGATAAAACGATAACGATATATTTCAAAAATTAATTTCTCTTAATATTGATATAAAACACGATCAATATCCTTTTCAATAGTCGTCATTCTGACATGTTTCGGTCGACTATACGAACAGCCAATGAAAAGGGGAGTTTCTCCGGGTCTGAACCAATCATGTTCTGAATTAGAACCAAGTATCAACCAACTGCAGCGTCGTAGCAGACAGCAGCTCCACCCAACCATAGCACTTTAACAGGTGAAGCCGACAGCACTGTTGGTGAGAAACAAAGAAAATGACCATGAAGGTCCTAAAGGTCCTCCTGGTTCAGAACGATCCGGTCCACATCACCACCAGAACCACCAGAACCCCCTCCATCACCCCCACCCCCCGGTTCTCCAACAGAAGATCCCAGTCACATCTAAAGTCCTCCTCCTGACCTGACTGAACTCCTCCTCCTCCTGACTGTCACTCTGCAGATTTCTGTTTCTAAACTTTAAACTGTTTGTTTTTTATCTGTTTGTATCTGTGATTGATTATCTGAACTGATTATTAGACGTCTTCTTAACGTGATCCCGTCTTTGTGAAGAAATCTGACTTTAAACCTGTAACCTCAGTTTCCACCTTCATCCTGATCGTCTACTAAAAGGTCGTATCCTCCGATCGTAGCTGATCCGAACCACCATGGATGAGGAGATGCTGATTCTAGAAGTCTAGAAGTAGATTTCCTCCTCTGGAAGGACACAATCTACTGCTTATATGTCTATGTGTCTGTCTTTAGAGAGACGACTCGTTATCGTGAGATTAATTGGAATCCGTGGGTTCTTAAGTTCTTGAGTGGGTTTTCAGGATTACCGCCGTCAGTAATCCGCCTCACAAACAGATCTGGTAGGAATTGGCGGACGCCGAAAATCGTTGGTGTTTCGGATCTGATCCGTTTCAGGATGTGGTGGAAACTGTGGGTAAGACTTCCTGTTGTGAGTGAAGAGTAAAAACAGACTGAATGAAACTCTGGTCGGTGTGGTTCCTCTCTCTCATGATCGTTTCTGTTAGCGCTGAGTCATGATCTCCTCTGTTATCTCTCCGCTCCATGACTTCCTCTTCTGTCACTCTTGACTTCCTGAAACTCCTGACCTCCTCAGCGCTGCTCCTCGGGGTCTGAGGTTCGAGCTCCTGTTAGAAATGTTTGTACAGTGAATAAAAAAACCTCTGAGACTCACCTGCAGACCGCCATCATGACCGTGTTCTCCTTCTGTCGCCTCCATGAGGGTAAAAAAAAAACAGGTTTCATCTTCTGTGTCTGACACTGATCCTGTTGAACCCTGAACAGGTCTGAAGAGGAAAGAGGAGAAACCACCTGAGGCGGACTCACCTGAGAAGCAGACAGGTGAGGACAGAGGGAGTCTGAGCTCTTTTGTTTCTGTTACCTGAGAAATCCGCCGTTATTCCCACCTGAGAGCTCAGACCTGAGGGCGTGTCAGACCTGAGGGCTCAGACCTGAGGGCGTGTCAGACCGGAGGGCGTGTCAGACCGGAGGGCGTGTCAGACCTGAGGGCGTGTCAGACCTGAGGGCGTGTCAGACCTGAGGGCGTGTCAGCCTCACCTGACCTCCACCAACACCCAGAAACTGAAGATGTACCAGCTCCACCCTCCACCACAGTGTCACTAACTTATCAAACAGGTTCTGATAGAGGAAGAACCAAACAGGTCCAAAGTTTCTTCTTCTTCTTCTCCTGAAGTTCAGCTGGTTGAAGGTCCAGCTCTGCTCTGAGCTCTTCTCTCTTGTTCTGACGCGGAGGTTCATAAAAACTAGATTTAGAAAAAACACAGAAAATTTCTTTAAACTCTAAATCGTTTCTTTTTTAAGGTACCAAAGACACTAGTGAACTATTGACTAAAGGAACCAATCAGCAAGCTCCAGAGCCACAGGAGGCGGAGCCAACAGCAGCAGCCACGGTGGAACCCCTGGAAGAGGATCCTGCAGAAGGTGTGAGAGCTGCTAACATGTTTGTAGTCCTGAAACCGGTCCAGATGAAGGTTCTTTAAACTCTTAGAGTCTGTTAGAATAAACCGAAGATAAACTACGATCTAGATCATCTTCACTCTGAAATCAGAATCTATGTGAACTCCGACCTGTCTGTGAGTCTCAGGTTCAGAGAGCAGATCCTCACCTGATGACCCAGGTATGATGTTCGTTAGACTCTCAGTCCGTTTCCATGACACTGGAGAAAACTGAATTATCGCCTTATTCCGATTAAGACCGGACAGCTGAAGGTCATGTGACCACCTTAGTCCGACTATAATCGGAGTCGGAGAACTCCGAACTCTGAGGGACGAAGTTTAAAGACATTTAAGGGTTAAAATGATCGGAAATAAAACTGATTTTTATGGTTTTCAGATGATTTCAAACCAATGTTGTCCAACAGGTTAGTCACATGACTCTGGAGTGGGAATCAACTGGACTTAGTTGAGGCGAAACGTCTCGACTAAGTCCAGTTGTCCTTTCAACGAAGAATTAGAAATCACTCAGTCCATTTCCACGACACTGGAGAAAACCGAATTATCGCCTTATTCCGATTAAGACCGGACAGCTGAAGGTCATGTGACCACCTTAGAACGACTATAATCAGAGTTTAAGAACTCTGATGTCATCAAGGTAACTCTGTCTGTGTCTGAAACAGGATCCAAGACCCTCCATGTGGACTCGGAGATCCAAGGTCAGTCCTGCTCCTCACTGTGTGTGTGTGTGTGTGTGTGTGTGTGTGTGTGTGTGTGTGTGTGTGTGTGTGTGTGTGTGTGTGTGTGTGTGTGTGTGTGCGTGTGCTCTAACGTGTGTGTGTGTGTGTGCGCGCGCTCTAACGGGTGTGTGTGTGTGTGTGCGCGCTCTAACGGGTGTGTGTGTGTGTGCGCGCTCTAACGGGTGTGTGTGTGTGTGTGCTCTCTAACGGGTGTGTTCTGCTGGTTTCAGAGGCCGTCCCCCTCCCCCCTCTGTCAGAGGACTTTGTTCCAGGTCAGTTGGACTCTCCTGATCCTCTTTGCGGTTCTGTCTGTGTTTTTCTGACTATATTTGGACCTCAGAACCGCAGCTCCTCCCCCATCAGGGCGGGCTCAGGCTGGTTCAGGGGCGGGGCTGTAACACAATAAAAAGGACCGCCGACCTCTGACCCTCTAAAGCCTGATGGTCAAAAATGATGTGACAGGAAAAAAAAACACTCTGAGGGCCTGTAGGGGGCGCTGTTCCACAGGACCACACTCTGAGGGCCTGTAGGGGGCGCTGTTCCACAGGACCACACTCTGAGGGCCTGTAGGGGGCGCTGTTCCTGTTTAAATGTTGTCAAGGAGACGCGGTTGAAGACCTGTTTTTTATTGGACGGTGTTTTTGAATGTCTAATGACACTAGGGGGCGCTCCTAAAGAAATTCAAAGCTTTAAAAAACCTTTTCTCTAAGACTGCAGATCCATAAATCCAGAAGGTTCTGGAACTCTGTGTGAATGATGATCGATCATGGTTCTTTGTTTGTTTGTTTGTTTGTTTGTTAAAAAAATGAAGCTCTAATAAAAAGGACGGACAGCAGGTTAAAGTGGGCGGTCCTAAACTGATGCTGACTCTCCTCTTCCTGTTTCAGACGACCCCCGGGTCAGCGCTCAGACCGACGGTGGGTGAAGCTCTTCAGCTCTTCTCTCCGTGTTTCTGTTTCTCATCAAGTTTGATCTGATTTCTCGTCTGATTTCAGGAGATCGAGTCGAGACCATCGACACCACAGGAGGTCAGAGGTCAACCTGTTGGATTAGGACTTTCCTGAGTCTCCTCAGGACTCATGAAGTTCTCCGGGTCCAAACCCAAGACCTGGTTTTCTACACTGAGTTCAGGATTCTGACATTTGAGGTTCTAACTCTCACTGTCCTTTATTTCTGCTCTAGTTCTGGTGGAGGAGCGCCCCCCAGAGGAGACTGTAGGTGGGTCCGAGATAGAGAAGACAAACCTGGTCCACTTTGATGTGGTTCTGGTCTTTTTGGTTCTGGATTTAGTTCTTCGTGTTTCTGTGTGAGATAATGACCTCATATTCTTCTCCTTCTTCTTCTTCTTCCTCTTCTTCTTCTTCTCCTTCTCCTTCTTCTTCTTCTTCTTCTTCTTCTTCTTCTGTGGTGGTCCTGCAGAGACGTCCACTCAGTACCTGACCAGCTCCAGGTTCTCACAGGCTGCAGGTAAAGAGAGAGAACAGCTGATTTCTAGAAGGTCCAGATCAGGTTTTCAGATCCAGTTACCGTCTTGGACTTTGTTCTGATTCTGACTTTTATCAGAGACGGTGGAGGAACCAGGAGACCAGAGAACCGAACCAGAACCTCAGGAGACACAGGACCAGAGAACCGAACCAGAACCTCAGGAGACACAGGACCAGAGAACCGAACCAGAACCTCAGGAGACACAGGACCAGAGAACCGAACCAGAACCTCAGGAGACACAGGACCAGAGAACCGAACCAGAACCTCAGAAGACACAGGACCAGAGCGAGGGACCAGCAGAGACCGAGAGTGAGCATAGACACACACGCACACACACACACACACACACACACACACACAGGTCCTCCTGAAACAGTGTCTCCTCTGATCTTCTACAGCAGCAGCTCCAGAGACTGAAGACAAGTCCAAAGACCAAGACCAGGACCAAGGTACTGAGACCCTCAGCTTGACCCTCCTGGTCTGGACCCTCCTGGTCTGGACTCTCCTGGTCTGACTCTGATGATGGTTTTTGTTTCTCTGCAGAAATGAAGAAGAAGAAGAAGAAGAAGAAACCCAAACTGTTCAACAAGTTCGACAAAACCATCAAAGAAGAAATCGACGCAGCCGAGAAACTTCGGAAAAAGGTAAAAAAGACGAAAAAGAGAAACTTCGGAAAAAGGTAAAAAAGACGAAAGAGAGACGAGACTGACAATGGTTTACTCCACATCTTTGTGTGTGTGTGTGTGTGTACTTGTGTGTGTGTTTTAGGGTAGACTGCAGGACGCTCTGACGGCGTTCGAGTCGTTGGTCCAACAGTTTCCTCAGAGTCCTCGAGCTCGCTACGGAAAAGCACAGGTACCAAACAGTACTACTACAGTAATGTACTATAGTACTACTACAGTAATACTACAGTACTACTACACTATTATACTACAGTAATGTACTACAGTACTACTACACTATTATACTACAGTACTACTACACTATTATACTACAGTAATGTACTATAGTACTACTACACTATTATACTATAGTACTACTACACTATTATACTACAGTTATACTACAGTACTACTACACTATTATATTACAGTAATGTACTATAGTACTACTACACTATTATACTATAGTACTACTACACTATTATATTACAGTAATGTACTATAGTACTACTACACTATTATACTATAGTACTACTACACTATTATATTACAGTAATGTACTATAGTACTACTACACTATTATACTATAGTACTACTACACTATCATACTACAGTAATGTACTACAGTACTACTACACTATTATACTACAGTCATACTACAGTATTTCTACACTGTTATACTACAGTAATGTACTACAGTCTACTACAGTAATGTACTACAGTACTACTACACTATTATACTACAGTTATACTACAGTACTACTACACTATTATACTACAGTCATACTACAGTATTACTACACTGTTATACTACAGTAATGTACTACAGTCTACTACAGTAATGTACTACAGTACTACTACACTATTATACTACAGTTATACTACAGTACTACTACACTATTATACTACAGTAATGTACTACAGTACTACTACACTATTATACTACAGTACTACTACACTATTATACTACAGTACTACTACACTATTATACTACAGTACTACTACACTATTATACTACAGTACTACTACACTATTATATTACAGTAATGTACTATAGTACTACTACACTATTATACTATAGTACTACTACACTATCATACTACAGTAATGTACTACAGTACTACTACACTATTATACTACAGTCATATTACAGTATTACTACACTGTTATACTACAGTAATGTACTACAGTCTACTACAGTAATGTACTACAGTACTACTACACTATTATACTACAGTTATACTACAGTACTACTACACTATTATACTACAGTAATGTACTACAGTACTACTACACTATTATACTACAGTACTACTACACTATTATACTACAGTACTACTACACTATTATACTACAGTACTACTACACTATTATACTACAGTAATGTACTACAGTACTACTACACTATTATACTACAGTAATGTACTATAGTACTACTACACTATTATACTACAGTAATGTACTACAGTACTACTACAGTATTATATTACAGTATTACTACGGTGTTATACTACAGTATTATACTACAGTATTACTACAGTATTACTACAGTATTACTACAGTATTACTACAGTATTATAGTACCGTTATACTACAGTGATACTACAGTATTGTACTACAGTACTACTACACTATTATACTACAGTACTACTACACTATTATACTACAGTACTACTACACTATTATACTACAGTACTACTACACTATTATACTACAGTAATGTACTACAGTACTACTACACTATTATACTACAGTAATGTACTACAGTACTACTACAGTATTATATTACAGTATTACTACGGTGTTATACTACAGTATTATACTACAGTATTACTACAGTATTACTACAGTATTACTACAGTATTATAGTACAGTTATACTACAGTATTACTACAGTATTATAGTACAGTATTATACTACAGTATTATAGTACAGTATTACTACAGTACTGTTCGTCCTCAGACGGAGGACGACCTGGCGGAGAAGCTGCGCAGTAACGACGTCCTTCAGAAAGCCATCAACACCTACAGAGACGCCGCAGAGCTTCCTGACGTGACCCCTGACCTCCTGAGAGCGGCGCTGAAGAGGCGGGCGGAGCGGCAGCAGTTCCTGGGTAACTCTGATGGAGGACACGCTCAGGTAGACCCACTCAGAGTCCGGTCCAGTCTGATGGTTGTGGTTCTGGTCCTCAGGTCGGATGCGTGGTTCTCTGGTGACCCTGCAGAGGTTGACTCAGATCTTCCCTGATGACATCAGTCTGAAGAACGACCTCGGCGTCGCTCACCTACTGCTGGGAGACAACAAGGGCGCCAAGGCCGTCTACGAGGAGGTCAGTGTGTGTGTGTGTGTGTGTGTGTGTGTGTGTGTGTGTGTGTGTGTGCACGTGGACCAAACACACACTCCTCATGATTGACAGGTTCTGTCCTGAGCTCTGATTGGCTGTTCTTCACCTGCAGGTTCTCGAGGTCGCACCAGACGACGGATTCGCCAAAGTTCACTACGGGTTCATCCTGAAGTCGGAGAACAAGATCGCAGAGAGTATCCCGTACCTGAGGGTACACACACACACACACACCTGTACACACACACACACACCTGTACACACACACACCTGTACACACACACACACACCTGTACACACACACACCTGTACACACACACACACACACACACACACACACCTGTACACACACACACCTGTACACACACACACACACACACACACACACACCTGTACACACACACACACACCCACACACACACACCTGTACACACACACACACACACACACACACACACACACACCTGTACACACACACACACACCCACACACACACACCTGTACACACACACACACACACACATACACACACACACACACCTGTACTGTCCTCTTTGAGCTGACCTCTGACCCCGTGGTCTGTGTCCTCAGGAGGGTCTGGAGTCCGGTGACCCGGGGACAGACGACGGCAGGTTTTATTTCCACCTTGGAGACGCTCTGCAGAGAGTCGGGGACAGCAGCGTGAGTATTGATTATTGATCTTCATGAAGAGAGTCGATCAGAAAAACAAACAGATGTCTCTCCTCTGAACGTGTCAGTGATGGAAGATCAGTTCTTTTGACTGAATCTTTAGAATCATTAAAAAGATTCGTTCAAAAGATTCGCTCACTGAATCAGTCAGTGTTTCGGAGCCCCGCCCTGTCGCTGCAGTACACCAGTGAGTGACACAGCGGCGAGTTCGTTCATTAGCCCCTCCCCTCCTCTGCTGCTGAAGTCACAGCGTCGTTCTCTGGGTGACTCGTGTCGTTCATTCACCAAGTCCTGAAGGAAGAATCACTCCCCCGCCCTGAAAAACTCACCTCTCTGTGTGTCGCCGTCTGTCGGCGGAAACAACACAGCAGCGAGCAGCACGCCGCTCTGAGATCTTTAGTCAAATCAAGATCATGAATCAGGTCCACCACCACCGTCACAGAACACAAAACTATCAATCAAACCAACTTTTACATCCATGTGACAAAAGAAAACAAGTTTAGAAGAGTTTAATTTATTAGGATCTTAATGAGGGTCTCCTCTGGACCTCACAAACTCAATCAGTGCCGATCGACCACTGATCAATAAAACCACAACCATGACGTGATCGTTTACTGACGACGAGCCTGTTAAAATGGTCGAAAAACAAAGAGGTCGAAATTATTTTAACATTAAAACGTGTGTGTGTGTGTGTGTGCAGGCCTATCACTGGTATGAAGTGGGTCATCAGCGAGGACACTTCGCCTCAGTCTGGCAGAGGTCTCTGTATAACGTGGACGGACTGAAGGCTCAGCCGTGGTGGACGCCCAAAGAGACGGGATACACCGACCTGGTCAAGGTGAGAGCAGAGAGTGTGTGTGTGTGTGTGTGTGTGTGTGTGTGTGTGTGTGTGTGTGTGAGTGTGTGTGTGTGTGTGTGTGTGTGTGAGAGAGTGTGTGTGAGAGTGTGTGTGTGTGTGTGTGTGTGAGAGTGTGTGTGTCTCCACCAGTTCACCTTCACTGGTTTCTAAGAGGACCTGTGGACGTTTTCAGACTCTGGAGAGGAACTGGAGGACGATCAGAGACGAGGCTCTGGCTGTGATGGACACATCAACGGGACTGTTCCTACCTGAGGAGGAGAACCTGAGGGAGAAGGGAGAGTGGGGACAATACACACTGTGGCAGCAAGGTACACAACACACACATACACACACCTGAGGAGGAGGAGGAGGAGGAGGAGGAGCAGTGAGCCGCTCCTCTGTGTGACCAACAGTTTAACTCTGAGACCTTTTAAAGACGGACCTGATTCAGACCCGGATCTGTCCTCAAAACTGGAGAACCCAGTCACCAAGGTGGTGCTGTTGTTGTTGTTGTCGTTGTTGTTGTTGTTGGTTCTGGTTCTGACGGGTCAGCAGGATTTCTCTGAACCTCCTTGTTTATTTTGTGTTCAGGTAAAAAATCTGGATCAGCCTGTCAGGGCGTCTCTAAGACCTGCGCTCTTCTGGAGAGATTCACTGAAGCGACAGGCTGTAAGAGAGGACAGGTACACACACACACACACACACACACACACACACACACAGGTACACACACACAGGCTGTAAGAGAGGACAGGTACACACACACACACACAGATACACAGGTACACGAACAGAAACACACACACAGGTACACACACACAGTAAGAGAGGACAGGTACACACACACACACACACACATACACACATACACACACACAGTAAGAGAGGACAGGTACACACACACACACACACACACACACACACAGGTACACACATACACACACACAGGTACACACACACAGTAAGAGAGGACAGGTACACACACACACACACACACACACACACACACACACACACAGTAAGAGAGGACAGGTACACACACACACACACACACACACACACACACACACACACACACACAGGTACACACACACACAGTAAGAGAGGACAGGTACTCACACACACACACACACACACAGATACACACACACAGATACAGGTACACACACACAAACACACAGAAACACACACAGGTACACACACACAAAACACACAGAAACACACACACACACACACACACACACACACACACACACACACACACAGTAAGAGAGGACAGGTACACACACACACACACACACACACACAGGTACACACACACACAGTAAGAGAGGACAGGTACACACACACACACACACACACACACACACACACAGGTACACACACAGGTACCTGCTCGGTTTGACCGTCCATCTATGTCTGTGTGTCTCTGTCTGTGTGTCTGTGTCTCTCTGTCTCCCCCCCCCCCCCCCTCCCTCTCTCCCCCCTCTCTCCCTCTCTCCCCCCCTCCCCCCCTCTCCAGATCAAGTTCTCGGTCATGCAGCCTGGGACTCATGTCTGGCCTCACACCGGTCCCACTAACTGCAGACTCAGGATCCACCTCGGACTCGTCATCCCCAAAACCGGCTGTAGGATCCGCTGCACCAACCAGACCAGGTACACCTACACCCTCATCCTCCTCCTGCCTCCTCCTTCCTCCTCCTCTTGTCTCCTCTCCTTACCTCCTCCTGTTTGTCCCCTCTTGTCTCCTCTCCTAGTTTCCTTTCCTACTCTCTTTGTGTCTGCTTTTATCTTAGTTTTCCTTTTTTGTTTCCTTTCCTTAAATAGTCTCCTTGTCTTCTTTCCTTCCTTTTTTTTCATCAGGGTTCTTGTTTTCCTCACCTCCTTGTTTCCTCTCCTCCCTTGTTTCCTCCTCACCTGTCCTCTGCATCCTAGTCTTATCTCCTTGTTTCCTTTACTTAACTCCTTTCTGTTTTTCTCTCCTTCTTGTTTTCTTCTTAAATTTGACTCATCTCCCCGATCATCTCTGATCACCTGGTGGTCTCCGGTTCCTCCTGGTCCCTCCTGGTTCCTCCTGGTTCCTCCTGGTCCCTCCTGGTCCCTCCTGGTCCTGGTCTCAGGGAGTGGGAGGAGGGTAAAGTCCTGATCTTCGACGACTCCTTTGAACACGAGGTCTGGCAGGAAGCCGACAGTTTCCGCCTCATCTTCATCGTAGACGTTTGGCACCCAGAGCTCACGGCGTACCAGCGCCAGACTCTGAGTCCGATCTAGATCCACGTCTCAGAACCAGGACTCCAGGACTGATCAGGTCCTCTGATGGACGGACCCTCACTGGTGGACTCTTGAGGATCAGACTGAGGACCATCTTCTACTACTGACTAAAAAAACCTACTTCGGTACTTCTGTTAGTCCTGATCAGACCCGGTCCGGTCCAGTCTGACTTTAAATCTTTCAAAATAAAAAAATGAGACCGGACCTGAGACTGGACCTGAGACCGGACCTGAGACCGGACCTGAGACCGGACCTGAGACTGGACCTGAGACTGGACCTGAGACTGGACCTGAGACCGGACCTGAGACCCCCTCAGAGGTTCTGTGGGTCAGTCTGAGACAAAAACGTCAGAACTTTTTTCCTCTTTAGTTTTTTTAATTTTCTGTTTCTGATGAAGAAGAAAATCCTGACCTTAGCTCCGCCTGGAGGCGTGTCCTGACTTTAACCTGGAGGCGTGTCCTGACTTTAGCTCCACCTGGAGGCGTGTCCTGACTTTAACCTGGAGGCGTGTCCTGACTTTAACCTGGAGGCGTGTCCTGACTTTTGCTCCACCTGGAGGCGTGTCCTGACTTAAAGTCCACCTGGAGGCGTGTCCTGACTTTAACCTGGAGGCGTGTCCTGACTTTAGCTCCACCTGGAGGCGTGTCCTGACTTTAACCTGGAGGCGTGTCCTGACTTTAGCTCCACCTGGAGGCGTGTCCTGACTTTAACCTGGAGGCGTGTCCTAACTTTAGCTCCACCTGGAGGCGTGTCCTGACTTTAGCTCCACCTGGAGGCGTGTCCTGACTTTAACCTGGAGGCGTGTCCTGACTTTAACCTGGAGGCGTGTCCTGACTTTAGCTCCGCCTGGAGGCGTGTCCTGACTTTAGCTCCACCTGGAGGCGTGTCCTGACTTTAACCTGGAGGCGTGTCCTGACTTTAGCTCCACCTGGAGGCGTGTCCTGACTTAAGGTCCACCTGGAGGCGTGTCCTGACTTTAACCTGGAGGCGTGTCCTGACTTTAGCTCCACCTGGAGGCGTGTCCTGACTTTAACCTGGAGGCGTGTCCTGACTTTAGCTCCACCTGGAGGCGTGTCCTGACTTTAACCTGGAGGCGTGTCCTAACTTTAGCTCCACCTGGAGGCGTGTCCTGACTTTAGCTCCACCTGGAGGCGTGTCCTAACTTTAACCTGGAGGCATGTCCTGACTTTAGCTCCACCTGGAGGCGTGTCCTGACTTTAGCTCCGCCTGGAGGCGTGTCCTGACTTTAACCTGCAGGCGTGTCCTGACTTAAACCTGGAGGCGTGTCCTGACTTTAACCTGGAGGCGTGTCCTGACTTTAGCTCCGCCTGGAGGCGTGTCCTGACTTTATCTCTGCCTTTAGGCGTGTCCTGACTTTAGCTCCGCCTGGAGGCGTGTCCTGACTTTAGCCCCGCCTGGAGGCGTGTCCTGGTTCTACTTTGACCTTTTCGTCCCGTTTGCACAGAAACAGAAACAGCAGATCTTATAAAGATGAATTTATATTTATATGAAAATAATAAAAACATGAAAAAAAAACAAAAGTGTTTTTGTTGAACGTTTTCTTTCTCCAAAGTTCTGATTTATATCCACATATAAAAGAGGCCTGGGTCGGATCAGAACCAATCAGAACTGACCTGCAGTCTGAACGTCTGAACAGGAAGCAGCAGAAGAAAAAAGAGTTTAACAGAGTCGGATCTTATCGGGTTTAAGACGATTTACCTCAGACTTCAGAGTTTCACATTTCTACTGTAAGTTCTGGTTTTTGAGGAACTCTGAGTCCATGAAGTTTGGACTTCTTACCTTCTCAGAGACTCCGCCCCTCTGTACACCTCAGACCCGGTCATGTGACTAACCTGTCGGACATTCACCTCATTAGTTGGAGATGTTCCTGCAGATGTTTGTTTTAGCATCAGAACTTTGGACCCGTTTGGTTCCTCTAAGAACCTCGGACCTGTTTGGTTCCTCTAAGAACCTCGGACCTGTTTGGTTCCTCTAAGAACCTCTGACCTGTTTGGTTTCTCTAAGAACCTCGGACCTGTTTGGTTCCTCTAAGAACCTCTGACCTGTTTGGTTTCTCTAAGAACCTCGGACCTGTTTGGTTCCTCTAAGAACCTCGGACCTGTTTGGTTCCTCTAAGAACCTCGGACCTGTTTGGTTCCTCTAAGAACCTCTGACCTGTTTGGTTTCTCTCGGTTCTTCTTCAGTGTTTTTTGTTTTTTCTGGAGTTTTTTTCTTCTTCTCTGTTTTTTCTTCGTCTTGTCGAACCTCAGAAGTTGAAATGAAGATGCGGTGAAACCAGGGTGGTGTAGATGTTTTTTACTTTTATACATTCATTGAAAGTAAATACATGAGAGTGGCGTGGAGATCAGCTGATCAGTGTAGCCCTGATAACCAATCAGACACTCTGAAAATACAGACGCTGGATTCACAAACAGAGAAACGTGTCGTCTTTGACCTCTGAACGACCTCTGAGGGTCGTTTTTTTCACTCGGAGGTCAGTTTGACTCCAAATATCGACAATCGTTCTGCTTTTCTGCAGAGTGAAATCATGAAAAGAAGAAAATACAATCTTTAAATAAGTTCAATAAAAACAATCTGCTGTTTTTCTTCACAATCAAAGTTAACGGTGACATTTTGGCATCCTGTGGTCTGAACTGAAGTACAATACTCTGTCAGGAAGGAGGTACGACATCTGAACACGGTTCTGTTCAGGTCCTGGTTCCTGGTGGTCTGTGTGGGGTTTGGTTCTTGTCTGTACAGAGCTGATGAAGATTTACAGAGTTTGGATTTATACATGAAATAATTAAAATGAGCTTCCCTTTAAAAACCGACCCGCTCGTGTTTCCCGCTCACTGAAGTCGGTGCAGGACAAACTTTCAGCAGGTCGGAATAAAGTTTCATAAAGAAGGACGAGAAAAAAAAACGAGAAAAAAAAGAGAGAAAAAACTAAAATAAAAAAACTCTAAAAAAAAAACAAAAAAAATCGAAAAAAAAAAAACTCAGAAAAACTCGATCAGGAGGAAAAAGAGGGAGTGACGGAGGTGAAGGTCCATCATTTCTCACCCAGGTCCACCAACAAAGATCTCCTCAGACTCTGATCGTCCTCCTGCTCACAGCTGCTGTCAGACGTCTGACCACCAGAGGGCAGCAGAAACCAGTAAAACCAGTTTAGAGCCGTTAGAGTCCACCTGTTTCTAATCATTTAGACTCCACCCCAGAGCATCATGGGAACATGAGTTTTTAGACTCCATCTCAGTTTATGAACAAGTTCAGGTCCTGGTTCAGATTCAGAAGTCTCGATCAGGGGACTGTGTTCAGTCCAGGATCAGGTAAACCCCGTCCTGTAGTCCTGTAGTCCTGTTCTGAATCTTAATCTGGATTAGATAAACCTGATCCTGATCCAGATCCATGACTCAGTCTGGATTAGGAGGAGCCGAATAAGAAACCTGGAGATTAGAACCAAACTGGAGTTTTGTTTTTAATTTACAGCTGATTTTAGACACGGGTCAGAACCGACCCATTAACATGGAGGGGGGGCAGTGGAATCTAACACAGGAGGAAGGTTTGTCTCCTCCACAGGGGGGCGCTAAAACCCACAGAACACAGTGAGTTCAGGTATCTGCGCCATTTTCAGAGTTTTAGTCCCTGTGATCCGGTTTGAACAAGACCATCCTGACTAAGAAGAACCAGAACCAGAACCAGGACCTGGACCTGGACCTGGACCTTATTCAAACCCAAACCTCTGATCAGGTCTTTACCTGCTCAGGTGAGTCCTTGTTGGTGCAGCTGGACCTGAACGTGTCGGAGTCACACCCCCTGACCAGTGAAAGACGAGGGGCGGGGTCACACCACTGCTGGTTTCATACACACACACACACACACACACACACACACACACACTGCAGAGAGTGTGTGTGTGTGTGTGTTTGTGTGTTGGTCATCATGGTGGACATCAGGAGAGGCTCAGCGGGAGGAAATAGACGGCTCAGAGACAGGAGTGTGTGTGAGTGTGTGTGTGTGTGTGTTTGTGTGAGTGTGTGTGTGTCCTGTGTGTGTGTGTGTGTGTGTGTGTGTGTCCTGTTTAGGAAATTAAGAGTTCAGGAAACAGGACAAATCCTCCAGACGTACACACAGCTGATACAGAGAGTGTGAGTGTGTGTGTGTTTGTGTGTTCCTTAGAAGTGTGTAGTAAATCTGTACATGTGTTTGTGTGTGATAACTATAAATAAACGTGTGTGTGTGTGTGTGTGTGTGTGTGTGTGTGTGTGTGTGTGTGTGTTCAGTCCAGGGCCAGTAGAGGGGTGCTGGTCTCTCGGTCTGTCGGTCTGAGGGTTCCTGGTTCCACAGCCGACTGAGACCTGAAGAAGAGAATCAGTTCAGGAAGTCAGTATGAAGCAGAATCAGCTGCTCCTTCAAAATAAAAGCAGTTTTACAGTGCAGGAAATTAAGAGACCTGAACTGGTGACTGTCAAAATAAAAGCATATATATTTATCAGTCACTGAACGTCGTTACAAACTGGTGCTGACTGACCCCGAATTTTGACCGCATCTGAAACGGCGGCGATTTTCACCGTTCGCCAGTTCTTACCAGATCAGTTTGTGAGGTGAATTTCATGGTGGATTACAGACACAGGAATCATAAACTCACAAGAACCCGCAGATTCACGTTCAATCTCACGATAACGAGTTGTCTCTCTAAAGACAGACACATAGACATATAAGCAGTAGATTGTGTCCTTCCAGAGGAGGAAATCTACTTCTAGACTTCTAGAATCAGCATCTCCTCATCCATGGTGTCATCGGGGTGAAATGACGTCTAAAAACCTTTCACTTGTTCGTCTCCATCAATGGTTACGATCAGCTACGATCGGAGGATACGACCTTATGTCACGATAACCGCTATCCGATATCTGTCATGAAGTTCGCCTCACAAACTGATCCAGCAGGAACTGGCGGACGGCAAAGATCTGGTTTTTGTCTCCAGACTGTTTCAGAGTCCTCCTCACCTCTTCATCATGTCCTTGTCTCCTCCTCCTCCTCCTCCTCCCCCGCAGTTCTCCCTGACGTGGAGCGCGTCGTACGTCAGCGTATACTCCGTCTCGTCGTTGTAGTCCGGGCCCAGCAGCGTCCTCGCCCAGATCCCCATGTCGTAGGGAGGAAGAGTCCCGCCGAACTCTGACGGTAAACACTCGGGCTGGATCAGCTGGTGGAGCGAGTTCAGGTTATTCCCGTGGAGGAAGATCTGAGGAGACGAGGAGACGAGGAGGTCAGGAGAGGAGACATGGAGGTCAGAAGAGGAGACGAGAAGAGGAGAGGAGACAGAGAAAGGAAAAGGACATACCAAGGAAACAGGGAAGTCAGCAAAGGAGACAAGAAGAGGATAGGACACAGACAGAGGAAAGGATATACCAAGGAAACATGGAGATCAGCAAAGGAGACGAGGAGATCAGGAGAGGAGACAGAGATAGGAAAGGACATACCAAGGAAATGAGGATGGTACGAAAAAGGTCGGACAAGGAGGAGACATAAAAAGGATAGAGGGGAGGAAACCTGACAAGGAGACAGGAGGAAAGGAAACAAGGACACGAAATGTTTATCAGTGTGTGTTTGTTGTTGTTGTTTGTGTGTGTTTTTGTTTGTTGTTGTTGTTAGTGCGTATCGGTTTGTGTGTTTGTTGCTGCCTCACCCTCTTCCTGGTCTTGTCCTTGAGGAAGGGTTTGATGGTGGTGTGTATCAGTGTGTGTTTGTTGTTGTTGTTGTTTGTGTGTGTTTGTGTATGTTGTTGTGTGTTTGTTGTTTGTGTGTTTGTTGCTGCCTCACCCTCTTCCTGGTCTTGTCCTTGAGGAAAGGTTTGATGATGGTGTGTATCAGTGTGTGTTTGTTGTCGTTGTTGTGTGTTTGTTGTTGTGTATGTTTGTTGTCGTTGTTGTGTGTTTGTTGTTGTGTGTGTTTGTTGTCGTTGTTGTGTGTGTGTTGCTGCCTCACCCTCTTCCTGGTCTTGTCCTTGAGGAAGGGTTTGATGATGGTGTGTATCAGTGTGTGTTTGTTGTTGTTTGTGTGTGTTTGTGTTTGTTGTTGTTGTTGTTGTTTGTGTTTGTTGCTGCCTCACCCTCTTCCTGGTCTTGTCTTTGAGGAAAGGTTTGATGGTGGTGTGTATCAGTGTGTGTTTGTTGTTGTTGTGTGTGTTTGTGTGTGTTTGTGTTTGTTGTCGTTGTTGTGTGTTTGTTGTTGTGTGTGTTTGTTGCTGCCTCACCCTCTTCCTGGTCTTGTCCTTGAGGAAGGGTTTGATGATGGTGTACATGGCGTGGATGTACCACGGCTGGTTCACGAAGTGGATTCCTCCAAAGCGAGCAGGAAAACTGTCCTGAGGAGACAAGGAGAGGAAGAAAGGGAAGGAATGAGGACACAGACACACCCTCTTGAGTCTGACAGGAGGACAGGTGTGTGGTTAGTGGTTAGTTACCTGGAGACCCTCGATGGCCAGTTTGAGGATGTTCGGCGTTAACTTGGACGCCTGTTTGAAGGAGAAGTTGCTCCAGTCGATGATGAGGATGAATCCGTTTATCTGGAGCTCCGGGTTCTCGATCAGAACCTCCAGAGAGAGCAGGATCGCCCGCAAGATATCTGTGAACGAGTTCCTGATGGAGGGGGGGAGAGTAGGTGTAGATAGACAGACGATCAATAGTTAGAGACGCTGTGAGTCTTAACTACAACAATCAGCTGTTTGTGTTCTCAGATCAATCAATAAACAAGAAAGAGTGTGTGTGTGTGTGCGGACAGGTTTTTATGACATTATGAGGACACTGATGTGTTTTCACGGTTACATTCATGGGGACCCTTTTTCTCTGTGGGCACAGTGTGTGTGTGTGTGTGTGTGTGTGTGTGTGTGTGTGTGTGTGTGTCATTTTCCCCAAATTTTCACCGCATCCAGAATGGCGTCGATTTTTGCCGTCTGTCAGTTCCTACCAGATCAGTTTGTGACTTTGAAGACTAGATATTATTGAGGCTCATTTTCTGTGTTTCACCTGCTCTGATCCCAGTTTGAGGCAAACAGGATCAGGATTTTTCGACCATGTTGGTCTGGTGTCTCCAGTACGCCTGGAAAACCGTCCATCAGCGCTCGCTTTATACCCGGGTCGTCCACCTGAAACACACACACATATATATAAAATACTTAAAGTGTGAAACCTGCTGACAGACTTCTGTTTGAGATGAACCTTCAGTTTTATAAACAGACCTTGAAACTCTGGAACATGTCGAGGTTCTGCTGCCTGAACTGGAAGTACTGGGCCAACAGCCTGAAGGTCTCCACCTGGTCGAACTTTCTGGCTCTCAGGAAACGGAGAATGAAGTCGTCGTCAGTCCGCAGGAAACCGATGTCAGGCCGTGTCACGATCATGTCCCGCACCTTTCCATAAACAGAGGGTTAAACAGGAGTGTGTGTGTGTGTGTGTGTGTGTGTGTGTGTGGGCGGGGTCAGTACGTGTTCGCCTTCAGCTTCACCAAAATACGATTTTTGTTAAACTCGATCTTTCTGTGCGTCGTTCACGTTACAACAACGAACGCGTCCCTGAAGTGACCCTCATGAACACAAAACACAAATATCTTCCCGCTCCTGTTTGTGTCGATCAACGGTGACGTTTGTCTCATATTGATGACGTAAAGGTCGGATAAACTCGATCTGAGCGTCACACTGCAGTCACATCAGATATCTGATTTATATCCACATACAGAAGAGGGTCGGATCAGAACCAATCAGAACTGACCTGCAGGGAGAACGTGGACATATAAGAACACGAAAACACTTTAAACTGTGAAACATGATGAGAAACAAGAACGAGTCCAAGAGGAGATCTTTCAGGACCAGGTGGTCCAAAGATCGGACAGACTTCGTGGACTGTGTTGGACCTTCAGCTGCTTTAACAGCGTAAACCATGAACACATGAACATCATTATTCACACATTCACACCGTCAGCATGAATGATCATGATGTACCTGCTGGATGTCCTGATGGAGGGTGTCGGGGTTCTCGTTCAGCTCTAAACGAGCTTTCTCTGTGGTCTCCGAGCTCAGCCCGGCGTGCAGATGGGTCATCATGGAGGCTCAGGTTTCCGACGTCCCAAACGTGATTGTACTCAAAGTATTGACCCTCGATCAACAGACGGTTTTAACTTTATGTTGAAGAGTTTCAAGTATCAGAGCTCATAGAGGTTCCAGATGGTCTCAGCGTCGGTGGTTCTGGTTTACAATCGTCTGTTTGGTTGTTGAGGAGGTCAGTAAACGGAGTCTTTGCCCTTTGACCTTTGAAACAGTCTGATCTCCTGTGTTTGAACGTTCATGGATATAAAAAGAGGAGCTTGAAATCTCCCGAAGGTTCAGTTGGAGACAATCAGGGTGGTCTTTGTTGGACAGTGAATCAACAATCGTCTCTGCTGTCTTCGTCTTCTTCTTCTACATCGTTGTGAAGCCGCAGGTTTCCTGTGTTTTGGTTGGCTGCTGATTAAAATGCTGAGTTTGTCAAAGGTTATTGGAGTTCATGAGGCGCCGTCATGTCCGACAGACACCTGTAGAGACGACATTCAGGTGAGCTCGATCCTTTCACAGCTCCCTCCGCCTCCTCCTGCTCTCCGTCATCCTTCAGATTCTCAGGTTTGGATCATCCTGATTGGCTGCTGAGAGCTGGAGGCTGATGATGATGATGATGATGATGATGGTCGGCGGACTCCTGATGTTCGAGGTGACCGGTCAGGACAGACAAAAGGTCAAAGGTCAGTTAAGGCAGCTCGGTCTGATGTTGGTGAATTCGGCCTGAAAGAGCGAGAAACACAAAAGGACAAGAGTAAATACATATTAATATAATTATTATTATAAATATTAATATTATTATTAATAACAATATTATTATTAATATTATTATTATTTTAAAATTTATGATGATGATGATTATTATCAATGTTATCAATATTATTAGGGCCCGGGCTGACGCTGCAAGCAGCCGGTCAGAACCCTTATGAAGGAATTATTAATTATTATTATTATTATTATTATTATTATTATTATTATTATTATTATATTATTATTATCTATTATTTCTTCATTATTATTTTTTAAATTATTATTATTTTTTAAATTATTATTATTTTTTAAATTATTATTATTTTTTATTGTTATTATTATTAATATTATTATTATTATTATTATTATCTTTAAAGGTCTTTCCACTCAAAAAAAACTCTGAACGGGCTCAAAAACTCATAAAATTCAGCAGGGGGATCAGGCCCAGCTAAAACTAGAATATTTTATATAAAAAGGCTCTCTAGCGCCCCCTACAGTTTCATACTTGGGGAGTTTCCTGTGTAACTTCCTGTACTATAGCTCCACCCCCACCAGATTTGAGTCATTTAATAATAATTCAGATTATAATATGATTTTTTTAACATACTTTATTTTGATATTTACTGTAGTTTGAGATTTTTGTCGTACAATAAAATTATCTTTTTTTTCATATTAAACATTGATAATTTTATCATACTGTAAAATGATGTTTTTATCATACTATACTATTATATTTATTATAATACTTTACTACATTTTTCATACAATACTATGAAATTCTTAAAATACTATTAAATGATGATTTTTTATCCTAAAATCTGACCTGGTTTTGACACTAAAATTTGACATTTTTATCAAACTGAACTTTGATTTTTTTTTAATACTATACGATATTTTTTTATCATTCTAAAATAATATTTTTATATATATTAATTTTTTTTTCACACTCATATTTGAAATTTTTAACACACTGACATTTTCTTTCATCCTAAAATCTGATTTATTTTTACACTAAAATATGACATTTTTTTATCATACTAAATCTGACATTTATGTTTCTCTGATGAGGATAAACTGTAAATATTGAGTTTGAAGGTGGACAGAGGAGCACCGTCTCATATTCAACTATTGTCTGTATCTCTGTCTGTAGCTCTGTCTTTAACTGTCTGTAGTTCTGTCTGTAACTGTGCTGTTAACTCTGTTTTTGTCTGTCTGTCTGTCTGTCTGTGTCTGGTCTTTGTCTGTTAGTCCCTCATTTGTCTCTGAATGTCTTAAATTTTAACTCACAGCATCATGACGGTTCAAAAGTTTTCAGACGTCAGCGGACACTCAGCTGTTTTAGAATTAAGGCAAAGATGTTTTTTAAAGTTTCAACACTTTTATTTTCTGTTTTTGAATAAACCGTCGATTGTTTTTATTTGATTATTTTTACAATAAGAGGTTTTTTAAATGTTTGGATAATAATGAAGTCTGAGCCTCAGATGACCCCTGACCCCCGATCACCCCCGACTCCTCCTCCATCTGCCCCCCAGTGATGATTGAGTCTGAAATCCACAGAGACCCTGAAGGTCCCAGAGGACCAGAGGACCAGAGGACCAGAGACCCTGATGGTCCTGGAGGAGCAGAGACTCTTGGACAGAAACAGTCTGAACTGATCACAGCGAAACAAACACACGAAAATCTGATTTTAACCAAAACTGACCGAGAGAGAGAGAGAGAGAGAGAGAGAGAGAGAGAGAGAGAGAGAGAGAGAGAGAGAGAGAGAGAGAGAGAGAGAGAGAGTGTGTGTGTGTGTGTGTGTGTGCAGCCTCTCTAAATGTCCTCAGAGTATAAACCTGTGTTAGCTCCTCTCTCTCTCTCTCTCTCTCTCTCCTCCTTTAATAACCCTAACCTCTCTCTCGCTCTCTCTCTCTCTTTCCTCCTTTAATAAATCTAATCTCTCTCTCTCTCTCTGTAGTAGTGTGTGTGTGTGTGTGTGTCTGTGTGTTTTTCTCTCCTCACCGGTGGCGGAGCTGCTAGGTGTGCTGCTGTTCGGGTCCCGGCCGTCCTCTCCGGCCCGTCGGCCCTCCGCTGGTGGTGGTGCTGATGCTGAGGATGGAGGCGGAGGTGGCCATCGGTATCCCGCGGACAAAAGAGACTTCCGCTCAGATAAACCCAGAAACCCGAGAAAATAAAAACAGATTTAAATAAAAAAAGAGAGAAAATGATGAAGAAGGAGGAGGAGGAGGAGAGCAGAGCCTGTCCTTGGAGATCCGTGTGGACATCCAGGAGGAGGAGGAGGAGGAGGATGGTGCGTTTTCACTTTGTGCTCCGAGAAGACGTCAGGATGCTCCACAACAGTCAAGCTTTTCAAAATAAAACAATGTTTCCGGTCAGGACTGTCACAATAAAACTTAACCAGTCTGAGAGTCATGATCTCAGAAGCATGTTTGTGTTGATGGTTACTGTTTTGAATAAGTTTTCATATTTATATTATTATTATTATTATTATTATTAATTCCTGGATTTATTTTGTTTTATGGTATAAAGTTATAAAAGTGATCATAAAGGAACAATAATGAGATTTATAGTGAAAGTCAAACATTTATATTTACAACTTCCATAATTTAATCAGGAGCTAAATTCACTTTATTTTCATCATTTTAGTTCATTAATGTCTTTTCCTTTAAAAACCTGTTTTATAATTCTTAAAGTGACCCCGGTCCTCTGCTGCTTTTACTCATTATTATTATTATTATTATTATTATTATTATTATTATTATTATTATTATTATTATTGTTGTTATTTTTGTAAATCAGTGTGAGCAATTTTGTAGATTTCTTTTTTTAAAATATATCAAATAAATGTACTCAACATGACCTTGAAAGGTGCGTGTGTTTCATAAATTATATATTATATATAATATATTAAATATTATTAATTGGCCGTCCTACTTGTCCTACTTCTGTCTTAATTTATATAATTCATTGATAATTAGTCAGAATTTTTGATTCTCTGTAAATTTCAGATGTTTTTACATCTCTGTGTGTGCTCTTATTTTGGAGGTGTAATTTCCGGTTCCTCCTGGTATCAGTGTGTAGCTTTACTCACCTGAACCTTCAGTCTGTGTGACAGCAGCTGACGGCCATGCGCGTTCACGAGTCAACCTGGACGGATAGTAGGATATGCGTGCACAGGAGAACGTACGCGTACACGCACGCGGGGACGCGCATGTGTAGCCTTCACAGTGTGATGAACATTTCTGTTTGTAAAGGTTCCTGCTGAACCGGAATGAATTTATTATAATAATAATAATAATAACAATAATAATGATAACTATTATCATTATTATTATTATTATTATTATTATTGTTATTGTTGTTGTTGTTATTGTTGTTGTTGTTGTTGTTGTGGTGATATAGGGTAAAAACACACAATGCGTTGCAGGACAGACATTCCCATTAAATTCATCAGATCTTCATTCAAAATAAATCATATTTTGCTCATTTCTCAACCAGTTTTCATGCAGTTCGCTTTATTTTTAATGTCATAACTTCACATGATGTGTTTTTTTATTTTCAAATGAATGTTCTGTATTTCAAACACGTGTTCTTTCGTTGACAGTGAAGTAAACTTCATGAAAATCGGTTTAGATTGGAGTTAAATATGATTCATTTTTATTGTACAGCTTTTATTGTGAAAGATGTCCCCACCATGTCAAGGGCTTTTACTGTGAAGGCGTCCTGCAGGCCCTCTGACGTATTTCCGGTAGTACCAGGTTACATTTAGCCTCAGTGAAGCTCCTCTTCCTCTTTTTAACCTTCAGTTTCTTTAAAATCGATCATTTTTACCTCTACAGTCAGACTTTTATCTCTCTACAGCTCAGACTCTCGTCCTCACTTCGTGTCACTCCGGGTTTAGTCGTTTTTTTCCGGGTTTTTCCGTCGACTGGTCTGCCCTCAGTTCGTGCTAACGTCAGCCCAGCAGCTCGTCAAGAGTCGATTAATCGGTGATAAAGTCATGGATCAAACAGGAGTCGAAGCTCAAACAACAAAGGTAAGTTTAGTTTATTAATGAAGCTGTTTATTCTTTAATGTTGAGTTTGTTTAAACTGAAATTAAGACGGAATTTAGCGTTAGCATGTTAGCTTCGATCATTATCGAACAACACGGCCTTAGGACCTCAGACCCTCAGACCGGTCCTTCTGGGTCTGAGTCAGGCCTCTTGGGTCTGAGTCTGGTCCTCCTGGGTCTGAGTCAGTCCTCCCGGGTCTCGGTCCGGTCCTTTAAAGGTCTTAGAAAGTTCTGGACTGATGATCTAATCAGAGAAAATAAACCCACATATGAAAGACTCTGTAGGACTCTCCAGAGTCCAGCTGTCTGGACTTTGAAGAAACCTGGTCCTGGGTCAGTCCTGGTCCTGGGTCAGTCCTGGTCCTGGTCCTGGGTCAGTCTGTCAGTGAAACATGGAGGTAAAAAAAAAAGAGTCTGTAAAATTATTAAAGTAAAAATGACAGAAATCAGAACAAACAGACTGATCAACACATGTTGTTGTTGTTGTTATTATTATTATTGTTATAATAATAATAATAATAATTATTATTATTATTATAAATGTTATTTAATTATCTCATGTTTTAAACTGTTGTGTAATTAAATTAGGGGTCAAAGGTCGTCATATAGACGCTCAGGTGATTTCAGGTCATCTTAGTATCCCTCAGGTGCAGTTTTAATTAGAGGATGATGTCACAGGGGGGCGTGGTCAGGCAGAGACATGTCTGGACTTGTCTCAGTGTTACTGTCTGTTAAAGTCACAGTAGGGAGTTTTCGTGTCATTAATGATGAAATGAGATGATGAAGATGTGAAATAAAGAGAATAATGATAATAACAGTATAAAACACAGAAGTACAAACATATAAAGTAAAAACCCAAAGTTGTCAAACTCCTGATTATTATTTTCATGAACCTTTGTAAAGACGTGTTAACTCCTCCTCCTCCTCCTCTTCATCACTCGCTCTGGAGTCTTCCTCCTGCCGTCTTCTAGATTAACTTTAGTTCTCCTTAAACGCCTCCATCCTCCACACGCTGGTCTGTGACCCTCGCTCTGAACGCCGTGTCCCTAAATAAAGATCAGCTGCTGTTTTTAAAGTGACCTGGACTGACCCGGGTCATCGAGGCGAGGAGAATAACGAGGTTTTTAACTTTTCAGAGCCCCTGGGGTTCAGCTGCTCCGCCCGCTCCGACCTGCTCTCTGACCGACGTGATGAGTGAACAGCTGGCCAAACAGCTGGACGAGGAGAACAACGCCTTCGCCGACCTCACTGAGTACGAGCAGAGAGTGTGTGTGTGTGTGTGTGTGCGTGTGTGTGTCTGTGTGAGTGTGTGTGTGTGAGTGTGTGTACTCCTCAGGACTGAGTGAAAACCTGAAACCCGCTCCTGTCACTAACGTTAACATTATTGACCTTGACGTTATCATGAAGGTCATTTTCACATGTGCCCCCCCCCCCCCACAGTCCGACTGCAGACCTCCTGCGGAGCGACGAAGTCAGCGACACGACCAGTGACCTGATGTTGGCTCAGATGCTGCAGATGCAGTTTGACCGAGAGTACGACGACCAGCTCCGCCGCGAGGAGAAGAAGTTCAACGGAGACAGTAAAGGTAGGGACAGAGGGACATGAAGGACCTTCACAGACCCCCAGAGACCCTTACAGACCTTCACAGACCTTCACAGACCCTCAGAGACCCTCATAGACCTTCACAGACCCTCACAGACCTTCACAGACCCTCACAGACCCTCACAGACCTTCACAGACCCTCACAGACCCTCACAGACCTTCACAGACCTTCACAGACCCTTACAGACCTTCACAGACCTTCACAGACCCTCAGAGACCCTCACAGACCTTCACAAACCCTCACAGACCCTCACAAACCCTCACAGACCTTCACAGACCCTCACAGACCCTCACAGACCCTTAGAGACCCTCAGAGACCTTCACAGACCCCGAGAGACCTTCACAGACCTTCACAGACCTTCACAGACCCTCACAGACCTTCACAGACCCTCACAGACCTTCACAGACCCTCACAGACCCTCACAGACCCTCACAGACCCTTAGAGACCCTCAGAGACCCTCAGAGACCTTCACAGACCCTCACAGACCCTCACAGACCTTCACAGACCCTCACAGACCCTCAGAGACCTTCACAGACCTTCACAGACCTTCACAGACCCTCACAGACCCTCAGAGACCCTCACAGACCTTCACAGACCTTCACAGACCCTCACAGACCCTCACAGACCTTCACAGACCCTCACAGACCTTCACAGACCTTCACAGACCCTCAGAGACCTTCACAGACCTTCACAGACCCTCAGAGACCCTCACAGACCTTCACAGACCCTCACAGACCTTCACAGGCCCTCAGAGACCCTCACAGACCTTCACAGACCCTCACAGACCCTCAGAGACCTTCACAGACCTTCACAGACCCTCAGAGACCCTCACAGACCTTCACAGACCCTCACAGACCCTTAGAGACCTTCACAGACCCTCAGAGACCTTCACAGACCCTCACAGACCTTCAGAGACCTTCAGAGACCTTCACAGACCTTCACAGACCTTCACAGACCCTCAGAGACCCTCACAGACCTTCACAGACCCTCACAGACCTTCACAGACCTTCACAGACCCTCACAGACCTTCACAGACCCTCACAGACCCTCACAGACCCTCACAGACCTTCACAGACCCTCACAGACCCTCACAGACCTTCACAGACCCTCACAGACCTTCAGAGACCTTCACAGACCTTCACAGACCTTCACAGACCCTCACAGACCCTCAGAGACCTTCACAGACCTTCACAGACCCTCACAGACCTTCACAGACCCTCACAGACCCTCAGAGAGCTTCACAGACCCTCACAGACCTTCACAGACCCTCACAGACACTCACAGACCCTCACAGACCTTCACAGACCTTCACAGACCCTCAGAGACCCTCACAGACCCTCACAGACCTTCACAGACCTTCACAGACCCTCAGAGACCCTCACAGACCCTCACAGACCTTCACAGACCTTCACAGACCCTCACAGACCCTCACAGACCTTCACAGACCCTCACAGACCCTCACAGACCCTTAGAGACCTTCACAGACCCTCACAGACCTTCACAGACCCTCAGAGACCCTCACAGACCTTCACAGACCCTCACAGACCCTCACAGACCTTCACAGACCCTCAGAGACCTTCACAGACCCTCACAGACCTTCACAGACCTTCACAGACCTTCAGAGACCTTCACAGACCTTCACAGACCCTCACAGACCCTCACAGACCTTCACAGACCCTCAGAGACCCTCACAGACCTTCACAGACCCTCACAGACCTTCACAGACCCTCACAGACCCTCAGAGACCTTCACAGACCCTCACAGACCCTCACAGACCTTCACAGACCCTCACAGACCCTCACAGACCCTTAGAGACCTTCACAGACCCTCAGAGACCTTCACAGACCCTCACAGACCCTCACAGACCTTCACAGACCCTCACAGACCCTCAGAGACCTTCACAGACCCTCACAGACCTTCACAGACCCTCAGAGACCTTCACAGACCCTCACAGACCCTCACAGACCCTCACAGACCTTCACAGACCTTCACAGACCCTCACAGACCTTCACAGACCTTCACAGACCCTCACAGACCTTCACAGACCACCTTATTACTGAGTCTGTCTCTTCTTGTCCATCAGTGTCCATCTCCTTCGAGAACTACCGTAAAGTCCACCCCTATGAGGACAGCGACAGCTCTGAGGACGAGGTGGACTGGCAGGACACCAGACACGACCCCTACAAGGCCGGTAAGAACCGGGTCAGAACCCCGGACTCCTCTGGTCCTGGTGTTCCGGATCAGAACCTCAGAGAAGAAGAACATTAAAACACTTTCTGTAACAAAAACAGTTTTTTTTTAAATTAAATTAAAAACCTTCAAAATAAAATCCTTTAAAATCAGAGTTCATGAACTGAAACGAACACATGAATTCACCCGTTCATAAACCAGAGAATTTCTCCAGCATGTTCAGGCCCCATTTTAACGCAGTCATAGAGTTTAATAATCAATAAATACGTTAAAAATCCACATCAGGAAACAGGAACTTTAACGTCTGTGTGAACGTCAGCGTAATCTTTGCTAAAACTCGGCAACAGGAAACTCGACTAAACTTCGTTAAAACCTTAAAAAGGAACTTCGTAAAAATTTACGAGAGAAAAGAAGAAAAAACGACCGACCAGGAACTTTAAACAACGCCGAGAGATCGTGATCGTGACTTTACGAATCGTTTTATTGTTCGTTTACGACGAACTTCAGTGAAATTTCCTTTCAAAATAAGAGCATCAGTCTCTGTTCTATTACTTACAGGAAGTGAAATCACAGCAAATAGAGATTGTACTTTCAAAATAAGACTGAAGATACCGACACATCATTTCCAGTCTCCACCCTCAGACTGATGGACCCTCCAGAATAAGAGTCTAGATGTTCAGGTGGTTCAGGAACTCCGATCTGAAGAGGGGTTCTGCTGACGGCCCGGTTCAGAAAAGTCCAGAACTGTTGATGATCAGTGAGGAGGACTGGAACCTTTAAGACCAGCTCTGAGGAGGATCAGTCCGCTGGTCCAGGTTCAGGTTGAGTCCAGGTTCAGTTTTAGTCCAGGTTCAGTTTTAGTCCAGGCTCAGCTTTAGTCCAGGTTCAGGTCTAGTCCAGGTTCAGGTCTAGTCCAGGTTCAGGTTTAGTCCAGGCTCAGGTTTAGTCCAGGCTCAGGTTTAGGTTTAGTCCAGGTTCAGGTTTAGTTCAGGTTCAGGTTTAGTCCAGGTTCAGGTTTAGTCCAGGCTCAGGTTTAGTCCAGGCTCAGCTTTAGGTCTAGTCCAGGTTCAGTTTTAGTCCAGGCTCAGCTTTAGTCCAGGTTCAGGTCTAGTCCAGGTTCAGTTTTAGTCCAGGTTCAGGTCTAGTCCAGGTTCAGGTTTAGTCCAGGTTCAGGTCTAGTCCAGGTTCAGGTCTAGTCCAGGTTCAGGTTTAGTCCAGGTTCAGGTCTAGTCCAGGCTCAGGTCTAGTCCAGGTTCAGGTTTAGTCCAGGTTCAGGTCTAGTCTAGGTTCAGGTTTAGTTCAGGTTCAGGTCTAGTCCAGGTTCAGGTTTAGTCCAGGCTCAGGTTTAGGTCTAGTCTAGGTTCAGGTTTAGTTCAGGTTCAGGTCTAGTCCAGGTTCAGGTTTAGTCCAGGCTCAGGTTCAGGTCTAGTCTAGGTTCAGGTTTAGTCCAGGTTCAGGTCTAGTCCAGGTTCAGGTTTTATTCCAGGTTCAGGTCTAGTCCAGGTTCAGGTTTAGTCCAGGTTCAGGTTTAGTCCAGGTTCAGGTCTAGTCCTCTCATGACGATCCTTTCTCTGTGTTTTTTTCGACCAATCAGATAAGCCGCAGACGACGCCCAGGAGAGGCTTCACCGGCAAAGGCAAGAACATCACCACCAAACACGACGAGGTGGCGTGTGGACGCAAGAACACGGCGCGCATGGACAACGTAAGACACTGTCCCCGCCCCCCAGAAAGAGTCTGGTGGTCTCGGACCCTCTGGTTCCTCCTCTGGTTCCTCCTCTGGTTCCTCCTCTTTATTCTGAGCCGACAGTTTTAACGATCAGAAAGTCTCACCAGCTCAGAGTTCTGATTAAAACCTCTCTGTCTCCTGTAGTTCTCTGTCATTTTAGCTCCGCCCACCCTCCTTTGTCAGCCAATAGACTTCCATTAAAAACAGTTTTTTTAAGTGTTTGTTTACAGTCGAAAATCTGACGTCCAAGTTCTTCAGAGTGGGACAGAGAAAGGGGGGACATTTGGACAATTTCAGCTTTGTCTTCACTTCAGAGCAGGAGGATGGACATGATCACATGATCTCTGTGAATCTGAACTCTGCTCCACCCTCCTCTCCTCTCCTCCTCTCTTCTCCTCCTCTCCTCCGCTCCTCCTCCTCCTCTCCTCCTCCTCCTCCTCCTTCTCCTCCTCCTCTCCTCCTCTCCTCCTTCTCCTCCTCTCCTCTTCTCCTCTCCTCCTCTCCTCTTCTCCTCCTTCTCCTCCTCCCCTCCTCTCCTCTCCTCCTCCTCCTCCTCCCCTCCTCCCCTCCTCTCCTCCTCTCCTCCTCTCCTCCTCCTCTCCTCCTCTTCTCCTCTCCTCCTCCTCCTCCTCCTCCTCCTCTCCTCCTCTCCTCTTCTCCTCCTTCTCCTCCTCCCCTCCTCTCCTCTCCTCCTCCTCCTCCTCCCCCCCTCTCCTCTCCTCTTCTCCTCTCCTCCTCTCCTCTCCTCTCCTCCTCTCCTCCCCTCCTCCTTCTCCTCCTCCTCCTCCTCTCCTCCCCTCCTCCTTCTCCTCCTCCTCCTCCTCCTCTCCTCCTCTCCTCTCCTCTCCTCCTCCTCCTCTCCTCTCCTCCTCCCTCTCAGTTCGCCCCTGAGGTCCACGTCGGCGATGGTCTTGGCATGGACCTGAAGTTGTCCAATCAGGTCTTCAACTCCCTGAAGCAGCACTGCTACAGCGAGCAGAGACGCAGCGCCAGACTCCACGAGAAGAAGGAGCACTCCACCGCCGTAGGTCCACAGACCAGGAGATTAACGGTCCGTCACGGACGCCGCCGTCCCCGTCTCTGACCCTCTACTGTGTCTCCGCAGGAACAAGCCGTGGACCCTCGCACCCGCCTGCTCATGTATAAGATGGTGAACGCCGGAACGCTCGACCACATCAACGGCTGCATCAGCACCGGGAAAGAGTCGGTGGTCTTCCACGCCAACGGAGGGAGGTGAGAACCGGGTTCTGGTGTTCTGGTGGGTTTGGGTCGAAATGATTCTTAGTTATTGACGAGGTAAAGTGGGACCGCCATCGGAGGAGAGGGTCACCGTCACACCTGTCGTACCTGAGCAAAGGTCAGAGGTGGGGTCTAAGATTCTGACCCTGTGTTTGTGCGTCAGTCTGGAGGAGGAGCTGGTCCCTGATGAGGTGGTTCTGAAGGTCTTCAAGACGACCCTGAACGAGTTCAAGAACAGAGACCGCTACATCAAAGACGATTACCGCTTCAAGGAGCGCTACAGCAAACTGAACCCGCGCAAGATCATCCGCCTGTGGGCCGAGAAGGAGATGCACAACCTGAGCAGGTGAGAAGATCCGCTGAGAGGGTTCACCTGAAGGTGCTGATGGAGGAGGAAGGAGGAGGAGGAGGAGTCCGCTTCATGACAGCTGAGTGTGTGTGTGTGTGTGTGTGTGTGTTCAGGATGAAGAAGGCCGGGATCCCCTGTCCTGACGTGGTCCTCCTGAAGAAACACATCCTGGTCATGTCCTTCATCGGTAAAGATCACGTTCCTGCTCCTAAACTCAAAGACGTCTCTCTGAGCTCCGACGACATGAAGGACGCCTTCTACCAGGTCCTTCAGGTGAGGACCAGGAACCACTCAGGAACCACTCAGGAACCATTCAGACACTTTGAAGTGTGTGTGTTAACTCTGTGTGTGTGTGTGTGTGTGTGTGTGTGTGTGTGTGTGTGTGTGTGTGTGTGTGTGTTTCCAGTTGATGCAGCTGCTCTATCAGGAGTGTAACCTGGTTCATGCTGATCTCAGCGAATACAACATGCTGTGGCACCAAGGAAAGGTTCGAACCAGGGACATCTGTCCATCCTCTCTCCTTCTCTTTCCTCCTCTCCTCTGTCCTTCTCTTTCCTCCTCTCCTCTGTCCTTCTCTTTCCTCCTCTCCTCTCTCCTTCTCTTTCCCCCTCTCCTCTCTCCTTCTCTTTCCTCCTCTCTCCTTCTCTTTCCTTCTCTCCTCTGTCCTTCTCTTTCCTCCTCTCCTCTGTCCTTCTCTTCCCTCCTCTCCTCTCTCCTTCTCTTTCTTCCTCTCCTCTCTCCTTCTCTTTCCTCCTCTCCACTCTCCTTCTCTTTCCTCCTCTCCTCTCTCCTTCTCTTCCCTTCTCTCCTCTCTCCTTCTCTTTCCTCCTCTCCTGTGTCCTTCTCTTTCCTCCTCTCCTCTCTCCTTCTCTTTCTTCCTCTCCTCTCTCCTTCTCTTTCCTCCTCTCCTCTCTCCTTCTCTTTCCTCCTCTCCTCTCTCCTTCTCTTCCCTTCTCTCCTCTCTCCTTCTCTTTCCTCCTCTCCTGTGTCCTTCTCTTTCCTCCTCTCCTCTCTCCTTCTCTTTCTTCCTCTCCTCTCTCCTTCTCTTTCCTCCTCTCCTCTGTCCTTCTCTTTCCTCCTCTCCTTCTCTTTCCTCTTCCCTCCTCTCCTCTCCTTCTCTTTCCTCCTCTCCTCTCTCCTTCTCTTTCTTCCTCTCCTCTCTCCTTCTCTTTCCTCCTCTCCTCTCTCCTTCTGTTCCCTCCTCTCCTCTCTCCTTCTCTTTCCTCCTCTCCTCTCTCCTTCTCTTTCCTCCTCTCCTCTCTCCTTCTCTTCCCTCCTCTCCTCTCTCCTTCTCTTTCCTCCTCTCCTCTGTCCTTCTCTTCCCTTCTCTCCTCTCTCCTTCTCTTTCCTCCTCTCCTCTGTCCTTCTCTTTCCTCCTCTCCTCTGTCCTTCTCTTTCTTCCTCTCCTCTCTCCTTCTTTTTCCTCTTTTCTCTTTTTAATCTTTCCTTCAGTTTGCCGTCTCTCACACACTCTCATCCTCATGTTTTTTTCTGTGTGTGTGTGTGTGTGTGTGTGTGTGTGTGTGCGTGTGTGCGTGCGTGTGTGTGTGTGTGTGTGTGTGTGTGTGTGTGCGTGTGCGCTCGCTCTAGGTCTGGTTGATCGATGTCAGTCAGTCCGTGGAGCCCACCCACCCTCATGGTCTGGAGTTCCTCTTCAGAGACTGCAGGAACGTTTCCACGGTAACAGTGACTTTGCAGCTCAGGTTGAACTTTTACACACGAAGGTTCAAAAAAGATCCAGAAGGTCTTTAAAAGAAACTCAAAGAGGCTGAAAACAGCTGATATATGTTTGAACTCACATCTCTGACATCTCCTCTGACATCTTCTCCACCGCTCAGAGGAGTCCGAGCGTCTCTCCTCAGACCGATGATGTCATGACGGGAGCGTTTCTGTGTTGACTGATTTCTAACCTCCTTCACGTGTCGCTCGTGTTTCAGTTCTTCCAGAAGAGGGGGGTGAGTGAGGCGTTGAGCGTGTACGACCTTTTCAACGCCGTGAGCGGCCTGAACATCCCTGTGGGCGCAGAAGAAGAGGCGGAGTTCATCGCTGAGGTAACGGACTGTCAGGTTTTAGATGGTCAGCAGGACTCTCCTCCTACAGAGCCGTGATGTTGTATCTCATGAAGGTTCTTCTTTGTGGTCCCTCACAGATCGTGGCTTTGGAGAAGAGAAACGAGGACCACGTCCAGAGGCTGGGGAGGAAAACCTTCGCCGTTTCCTCGGAGGATTGCGGTCCTCCTTTACAACCCGACGTCGATGATTAACGCCCCGCCCAGCTCGCTCTGTCTTCACCATCCCGCTGTGTTGATATCGCTGTTAGGAGGAGATGAATGGAGGAGGCTCCAGACCGCAGAAGCTTTTTCTGGGCGGGGCTAAGGGTGGGTCCTCATTTTTCTGGACCAACCAGACCGTGGTCCAGCCTCGGAGGCTCCTCCCTCTCTGTAAGGAGCAAAAATGTGGCAGCAGAAGAAGAAGAGGAGGAGGAGTTTTAATCATTTGGGGCGGAGTGAAGGTTTTTAAAAAACTCCGGAGGAGGTCTGAACAGAAAGGGTTAATACAGACGACCAATCAGAGAGCTTCTTTAAACTGACATTAACTTTCACTGTTTACCGTTAACAAAATAAAATCAGTATGAGCAAAAATATTCATGAGGTTTGATCAAATTATTCCATCATCTTCATCCTCCAACGTCCCTCAGTGTTCATCATCATCATCATCATCAACAACAACCGCGGTCTCAGGGAGCAGGAAGACTAGTATTAGACTAGTATTAGTATATATATATATATATATATATATATATATATATATATATATACTAATACTAGTCTAATACTAGTATTAGACTAGTATTAGTATTAGTATATATATATATATATATATACTAATACTAATACTAGTCTAATACTAGTATTAGACTAGTATTAGTATTAGTATATATATATATATATATATATATATATGTGTGTATATATGTACACACACGGACAAAACTGCAGGTACCCCTCAGTTAATGAAGGAAAAACTCCCAATGATCACAGAAATAACTTAAATCTGACAAAAGTAATAATCAATAAAAATTCTATAAAAATGAACAAATGAAAGTCAGACTCTGATTCTGAGCCGCGGGTCGACAGAATATTTACAAAAATAAACTTATAAAAACAGGTTTGGACAAAAATAATCCCTGAGAAAAGACTGAACATCATGTGACCCAAAGGGGCGTGGTCATTCAAGGTGTGTCCGCTAACGAGCAGCACAGGTGTCTACAGTAATCAGTCAGTGGGTCTACATGCAGGTCTACATGCAGGTCTACAGGTGGTCTCTGTGCTGTTCGGTGACACGGTTTGTACCAAACTCAACATGGATGAGAGGAAGAGAAGGAGAGAGTCGTCTCAGGTGATTAGAGAGAAAATTATAGACATAATTACAGACATGTCATAGAAAATGTTTTATAAATATAAATATATATAAATAAAACTGGTGTTTGAAATAGAATATGACGGTTTGACGTGTTAAAGGGGGATTTAAAGCCACATTAGTAATTATAAACACAATAACTGTGTCATGTTGTATCATGATATAATATTAGAATGTTCCCTTTACATCCAAGGATCTGTGCTGCTCCTTTTAAACAGCAGGGGGCGCTGTAGGACAGCAGTACCAGATGAAGCTCAGTGTTTCCTGACTGTGGTCTCGACAGTGAAGATGATTTTACAGCAGATTAAAGACAGGAAACAGCTTTTATTTTGTAAAAACATCAAATCTTCTAATATCAGTTATTAGTTATTGATTATTTGGTAATATATCGATATCTCTGTGTTCTCTTCTGTCTGTGTCGTCAACATTTGAACATTTTTGAGCGGTCCGCTCTCTCTGACTGTAAACAAAGCCGTTCTCCACCTCCTCTAACCTGATTGGTTGTGAGGCAGACGCTGCTCCTGAAGCTGAGTTGGCGTTTCCGCTGAAGTCCGAGCTGAAAATGACGTCGAGTTACTAATGTTTCAGTAACTGACCGGCCTCATATTCAGACACGGCGAGAGCTGAGATCACTGTCGGAGAGGCGGCCATCTTGTTTTGACTTTTTCCCACTTTGACGGAAACGTTACGAAACGGGGGTCGAGTTTCTGTTCCAGATTTCTCCTCCAAACTGTGGCCTCCTCAGATCCTGATCGACCACAGAGAGAGAGAGAGAGAGAGGGTTCTCCTGAAGGAGGATCTGAGTAAACTCCTGACCTCCTCCTCCTCCTCCTCCTCCTCCTCCTCTTATCAGACTGAGGAGGTCTGAGCTGAACTTTAAGACTCTCAGGCTGCAGGATTATTCAGAGCTCCGAAAATCTGTCCGTGAAACAGATTTAAGAAGAGAGCGGCTCATCGAAGACCGGGTTCAACCACACTCACCTCCTACAAGAAGAGGGGGAGAGGAGAGGAGAGGGAAGGAGAGGCGAGAGGAGGAGAGGAAGAGAGGAGGAGAGAGAAGAGGGGGAGGAGAAAAGAGGAGAGGAGGAGAGGGAAGGAGGGAGGAGAGGACACATAAAACAGTGAAATTAATCAATAACCTTTATACGTCTGTTTTCGTCTTCTCGATCGTGTGTTCTCACCGGTGCATCATGGTCATTTTTGGTCCCTCACAGCTTCAACTTTTTTTTTATTTACATCCTTTTATTTTGAAAGTCAGACACTTTTTTTCTTCACTTCTGTTGTTTTTTTAATCTGTTTCTTTTTTGTTTTTCACACTCGTGTTTCTCGGCCCCCGTAGGACTCTGTTGTCTGATGATGTTTTTCTCTGACTTTGTTGGAACCTGCTGCTGGTCCTGGTTCTGGTCCTGGTCCTGGTCCTGGTCCTAGACATGGTCCTGGTCCTGGTCCTGGTCCTGCTCCTGGTCCTGGTCCTTGTCCTGGTCTGAGGACTGTGGTCTTGAAGAGTCCCTGTTCTTCAGAGTCTTCCTCGTGTCCCTCCTCACCGCCTCGTTTCTTCTTCTCTGGTTCCTAAAAGTCCACCTGACCCACATCTTCGTCCAGAACTCAGAGCAGTTCTTCTTCTGACCAGCAGAGGTCACTACAACAACATGGAGGACCCAGGAGTCCATCTGGACCTCCAGAGTCCACATGAACCAGACTGAGGAGCTCTGACCCGGGACTAAGAAGGACTGAGAGAACAGAGCAGGACCTGAATTCATGAAGTACTTTTACACACAGAGTACTGAGAACTAAAGAGACCTGAAGAGTACTGAGAACTGGAGAGTACTGAGAGTACTGAGAGTACAAATACTTCATAAAGAGTTAATAAGAGTCTGAGACTGAAGACCTGAACCAGAGGACAGACCAGGACCAGGACCATCAGGAGGAGGTCCAGGAACTTTGGGACATTCAGGAACTTTCCAGAACAAACACACACACACACACACACTGAGATCGATACATGCCACTGAGTGTGTGTGTGTGTGTGTGTGTGTGTGTGTGTGTGTTCTGGATCACCCAAGCGCGAGATAAACAGGAGTTAGGGCATAACCTCGCGATACTGTCTCTCTCTCTCCCCCCCCCCCCCCCCCCCTCCCTCTCTCTCTCTCTCTCTTTCTCTCTCTCCCTCTCTGTCCCTCCCTCTCTCTTACTCTCCCTCTCTCTCTCTCCTCGCTCGGGTCGATCAAGCGGCGGGGATGCTGGGAGTCCGGTCCGGTCCGCCTCCTCCTGACGGTCACAGTCCGGTCTTCGATCCTCTCTGAGTCTAAATTCAGTTTTTTAATTTTTTTTATTTTCAGAATAAAAGAAAAAAGAAGAAAAAGGAGCAACAGCTGGAGCTGCTGAGGGACTTTTATTTTGGAGGGTTTTTAAATTTCTCACACCTGAGAGAGAAACTGAGGAAGAGGAGGAGGAAGAGGAGCAGGAGGAGGAGGAGGAGAGTTTGAGGAGAGGTCGGAGCCTCCAGAGGAGCGGACACACGGACGCTCTCTCCCCGGTGTTCACGCACTGTCCTCCGGCTCGGTGCCGCGCCACAGTCCGCTCTCCTGCCGCTGCCGCTCGGACTCTAACGCGCTCCTGACGCGCTCCTCCTGGGAGTCAAACCGACGACAGACAGAGGGCTGATTTTACTCCTCTTTTCTCCTCTTTACTCCTCTTTTCTCCTCTTTTCTCCTCCTGCTCGGACACTCTTTGCTCCGCGGACTTTGGCGCCTCCTCTCCGGATGGGATTTGTCAGCGCGGAGCGGAGCGCGGAGGAGCGGTGATGGAGTGAAGGAGAGCCCGCAGACCCCGCAGTTTGGACCGCAGGAGTTTCACATGTGAGTACATGAGGGGGGGGGGGTCTTTGTTGGTGAACTCTGACCTTTCAGCTCCTCCTGGACTGACCCGAACACCTGAGCGGAGATCAGATCATGGTTGTGTTTTTACTCCTGTTGGAGGAGATTTCAGTTCCTCAGAGTGTGTGTGTGAGTGTGAGTGTGTGTGAGTGTGAGTGTGTGTCTGTGCTCTCAGTGTGTCAGTGTGAGGGTCAAACTTCAGCTCAAACCCACAGACCCTCCTGAGTCTGATCCAGAGTCTGGATCTGGTTCTCTCCCTGTTTTCAGCCCCTCTCTCTCTCTCTCTCCCTCTCTCTCTCTCTCTCTCTCTCTCTCTCTCTCTCTCTCCTCTCTCTCTCTCTCTCTCTCTCTCTCTCTCCCTCTCTCTCTCTCTCTCCTGAGACCCTCTTTCCTCGGTTTCTAAGCGACCCCTCTCCAGGTCTCAGAGCCGAGCCGAGCCGAGTCTTTCCATTAATTAAGCTCCGTGTTTATGTAAGAGAGCAGATCCAGGAGGGCTGAGCGGGGCGGCTGTCAGACTCTGCCCTCCTCCAAACACCTCGAATAATCCCACACTCCGAGTTTTACTCCGTCACTCAGTACACAGAAAATACACAGATAATACACAGTTAATACACAGTTAGTACACGGGTGATACACACTCAGTACTCGGTCTGACTGTAGAAATACTCTGTAAATAATTTTGATTTCATCTTTAAAAAACTGACGTTTAAAATCTCTGTATTTAATAATTTTCTTTAATAACAAAATTGTCCAGAAACACATTTTTTTTAAACTGAAGTGACTCTGATATTTACTGTTGGTGTTCAGATCAGTGTGTTCACCGCCACCGCCGCCGCTGCTGCTGCAGACTGTCTGAGCCGCTCCTCTTGTCCTCGGACATGTTCCTGAGATGATCCTGAGACTCTGACTCTGAGATGAACTCTGATGTTCAGGTTCTGGTCGTGTTCGTGGTCCATCTCTGAGTTTCAGATTCTGATGTTTGAGTTTTCTCTAAATGAATCCGTGTCCTTCGCTCCTGTGACGCACTTTGTTGATGGTTCGATTTTTTCAGAGTCAGTGTTTCCCTTTTGTTTTATTCTGGGAGATTTTATTCTAGGTGGTTTTATTTTATTTTATTTTAGATGATTTATTTTAGATGGTTTTATTCTAGATTGTTTTATGCTGGATGGTTTATATTTGATTTTATTCTCTTTGTTTTTATTCTCTTTGTTTTTTAAATCGTTGGTTTAAAGACAGAAACCTGAAGTATTAATCTGTTTTTTTTAGACTCACTCTGTGTTTATTAGAGATGCATGACAACCTTTGACCTTTCACATTTGGGGATGACTCCTCACACACACACACACACACACACACACACACACACACACACACAGCCTGAAGAGCTCGCTGTTCGTTCTGACGGTTAAAGAAAATCAAACCGTCTCAGTTTCTGATTCGCTCTCATGACGGCGTTCGTCTAAAGACGTTTGAGCTCCAGGACGGTTTGATTTAAAGATGGACGCTCCCCCCCCCCCCCTTTACTGAAGCGTCCTTGAGCCGGAGCGGCCTGAGTCCTGACCTCTGACCCCTCCCTAAACACACACGTCCTCCTGTAATAAAAGAGACGGAGTGTTTTTATCAGGGCGGCTCTCACAGCTGACTCTGCGTCTCGACTGCAGGACCTCTGCAGAGCGACGCGACCACGGCGCTCTGATGAACGTCCCCGTGTGAGCTCATCTGAAACCTGAGGAGGAGGAAGAAGAAGAAGAAGAAGAAGAAGAAGAAGAAGAAGAAGAAGAAGAAGAAGAAGAAGAAGAAGAAGAAGAAGAAGAAAATGAAGAAGATGATGAAGAAGATGAAGAAGGAGAAGATGATGAAGAAGAGTCTCTGTTTAGTTTTTTATTTCTACAAGATGATGAAACTCAGATTCAGTTTGATTGAAGGTGTTTCTGTGACTTTTACTGCTCTGAGTGTTTCTACTGCAGTACTGTACTACACCTATACTACACCTGTACTACATCTGTACTACACCTGTACTACACCTGTACTACACCTGTACTACAGCTGTACTACACCTGTACTACACCTGTACTACACCTGTACTACACCTTTACTACACCTTTACTACACCTGTACTACACCTGTACTACACCTTTACTACACCTGTACTACACCTGTACTACACCTTTACTACACCTGTACTACACCTGTACTACATCTGTACTACACCTGTACTACACCTGTACTACATCTGTACTACACCTGTACTACACCTGTACTACACCTGTACTACACCTTTACTACATCTGTACTACGCCTGTACTACATCTGTACTACACCTGTACTACACCTATACTACACCTATACTACACCTTTACATGAACTACAGGGTGAAAAAACTCACCATCATCATGACCATCGTCACCATGACCATCGTAACCATGACAGCCGGATGATCACTTGATACCTGGAGTCGTGGTGACTGTGTGTCAGTTTTAATCTAAAGATGTTTAAGGTCCAAAACTTTCTCCAGAAGTTCAAAGAAAGAAGTTTGACGTCTGCAGACAGGATCATGACGTCCTGATTTAACTGAACTTCAGTCTGCAGAGAGCAAACCTGACGGAGGAATCTTCTCTAAGTTCATCCTGGATGATGGATGCAGAGACAGATCCACACCAGCCGTTAGTCTGAGACAGGAGGATTTTATATTTACATGAACTTCTTATATTTATATTTACTGAGGACCCACATCAGCTTCAAAAAGTCCAGAGAAAATATAAAAACATATAAAAATACAAATTCAGAGAGTAAAGAAACAAAGAGAGGACGGAGAGATCTTTGGAGTCGGTCTCCATGAGCTGAGGAGAGTTTTAGACCAAGAACTTTGAGAGGAGGAGATCTTCAGACTCTCAGTTTGACTCATTTTACTTTTATAAAACTTTAATTCCTGTTTAAAAACCTGATCATAATCTGGAGGACGGAGGGAAGGAAACACGGGTAAAAAGAAACGTCAGGATGGAAAACACAATCAGGTCAGACGGATAAAAACGGGCAGAGAAGAGTTTGATCAGAGTCCAGCAGAGAGGAGAAGACCAAACCGGGCTGAAAGAAGAAGAGGTGGAGAAGAAGAAGAGGTGGAGAAGAGGAAGAGGTGGAGAAGAAGAAGAGGTGGAGAAGAAGAAGAGGTGGAGAAGAAGAAGAGGTGGAGAAGAGGAAGAGGTGGAGATCAACATCATCCTTGACCCTGTGATCCAGCCGACTAAATTCTCCTCGGCAGGTTTACGACTTCCTGTCAGCTCGGCTTCTTCACTGTCTTCCAAAAAAGGACGCAGAGATCCGAGAACGTTCCTGACAGAACCTTCAAACAAACAAGTCAGAGTGAGAGAGAGTCCTCCTGAAGACCTGACATCAAAGAGTCCAGAACCAGGTGATCCCCTCCAGAACCTCTCAGAGCCTTCACCAAACCAGGAAGAAGTTTTTCTGAAGATACGGCGTGTTCAACGTGAGGCCTTCAAAAAACACCACCAAGAAGAGGAACAACCGAAGCTGAAGGACCCCTGACAAAAGGTTCTGAAAGACCGGCACTGAAGACCCAAACCTTCACCAAAGACCGGCGCTAAAGACCCAAACCTCCCCCAAAGACCGGCGCTGAAGACCCAAACCTTCACCAAAGACCGGCGCTGAAGACCCAAACCTCCCCCAAAGACCGGCGCTGAAGACCCAAACCTCCCCCAAAGACCGGCGCTGAAGACCCAAACCTCCCCCAAAGACCGGCGCTGAAGACCCAAACCTCCTCCAAAGACCGGCACTGAAGATCCAAACCTTCACCAAAGACCGGCGCTGAAGACCCAGACCTCCTCCAAAGACCGGCACTGAAGACCCAGACCTCCTCCAACGACAGACACGCCACACTCTCTGATAGTTTTGTTTTTGGATCGTTGTCGGACTTCCTAAAGAATCTCCAGAACACCGATGACCCGACTCTTCAGAACCACTTCCTCCTCCTCCTCCTCCTCCTCCTCGTGTCGGGACGCTCGGCCCGCCTCCGTTGGTTCAGTACTGACACTAATCTCAGCGTCCGCCATGACCTCCACCAGTGAAGCTGTTCCTTCAGTCTGCTGGGGAGGGCGCCCAAACCCGACCAATCAGACGGAGCGAACGAACTCTGAGGACGAACCTGCAGAGTCAGCACGTCTCTGATCCAGGTGTTCGGGTTCCTCCAGGTGAACCGCATCAGTCTGCAGTCAGCTGACCCGCTTTACACAGGTGTGTGTGTGTGTGTGTGTGTGTGTGTGTTCTCAGGTGTGTGTGTGTTCTCAGGTGTGTGTGTTCTCAGGTGTGTGTGTGTTCTCAGGTGTGTGTGTGTTCTCAGGTGTGTGTGTTCTCAGGTGTGTGTGTTCTCAGGTGTGTGTTCTCAGGTGTGTGTGTTCTCAGTGGTTCTCAGAGTTGTTCTTCTTCTTCTACAGTTGTCGGTTTGTCATCACCTCCTCTCAGAAATACAACAGGTGCTGCAGTGGCTGCTTCACATGCATTACATTTATGTGTGTGTGTGTGTGTGTGTGTCTGTGTGTGTGTGTGTGTGTGTGTGTGTGTGTGTGTCTAAGTGAGAGAGAGAGGGGAGTGGGAGTGTGCGCCTACGTGATTCCAAACCCGTATTTGGTGTGTTTGACTGTCTGTCTGTGTGTCCCTGGTTGTGTGTGTGTTTGTGTGTTCCTGTATGTGTGTGTGTGTGTGTGTGTCTGTGTGTGTGTGTGTGTGTGTATGTGTGTGTGTGTGTGTATGTGTGTGTGTGTGTGTATGTGTGTGTGTGTGTGTGTGTAAAGCCTCACTCGGTGCGTTGCTCTTGTTTGTTCAGTGTCGGAGCAGCAGGCCTGACCTTTCCCGTGTCGGGCGCTGAGACAACACGAGCCGCCGTTTGACGGACGAGCAGCGCTGTGGCGCTCGCTCTCTCTGTGGCGCTCGCTCTCTCTGTGGCGCTCTGTGCTCTGACATCAGCGGTGCGGCTGAGAGCAGCCTCTCGATGATTATCTCCAACCTTTGTGCGGTAAAGGCGGCGTCTGAAACCTGAGAGCGCTCTACAGCTTTTATCTTAAAACCCTCCTGAGCCTCGCTCGCTCGCTCGCCGCTCGCCGCTCGCCGTTTGCTCTTCTATTCTCTCTGTTTCTGGGTTAGTCGCTCCGTCAGCGGCGTCCCTCAGAAGAGCGAGAACATCCTGTCAGATCTGTGTCATGGTCAGAGCTGAACCAGCTGAACCTCCATGACTCTGATTGGTTGAAGGATTGATGGTTTTATTGGTCACATGATTAAAAAAAGAAGAACTCCACGACCTCTGACCTTTGACCTTTCAACCAAACGCTGACGCTCCCAGAATTCTCTGAAATCTATGTTTTTTACATCTATAAAGCTCCAGTGAGGAAATCTTGGTTTGTGTTCAGTTTGGCGCCCCCTGTGGTCAGATCAGTCTTTATGGCGTCCTCCGCAGGTCTGGTTGATGATCTGCTCGGCTGACTCCGCCCACCTCACGAGTCCTCTTCGTCCGTCGAGTTGATAACGAGTCGTCTCTCTAAAGACAGACACATAGACGTATAAGCAGTAGATTGTGTCCTTCAGAGGAGGAAATCTACTTCTAGACTTCTAGATTTCAGGAAAGCCTTAGGATGGTGACCAATCAGAAGACAGTAGGCGTGTGGAGGGCGGGGCTTAAAGAGACAACAGCTAATCGAAGCGTTTCAGACGGAGACAGAGACTTTAATCCACCAGAGAAGAAGAAGAACAGAGTCTGTCCCCCCCAGGAGGACCGTCTTCAAGAACCTGAAACTGGTCCATCTGCCCCCCCCCCTCAGTGAAGATCACCATGACGACCAAAATCTGCTCCAGGATCACCTGAGCTCCAGTCTGACGGCGCCGGTGACTCAGCGCCGCCTCTCAGCGGCTCGGTGTCGAGGTGGCTGAGGACGGACGGACGGACGGACGG